AGAAAAGGTCACTTCGCTAGAAGGTCATGATTGGTAGTACCCTACGTGAATCCAAGTTGAAATGGCAGCAGTTTTGAAACCGTGCCCTAATATTGTGTGTGTCCTCCTCGACCAGCTATAGCATCTCTAATTCTTCGTTGCATCGAGTTCATCAGGGCATTGACTGTCCGTATTGGAATGTTATTCCATTCTTGGACGAGTGCATTTGCTAACTGGGGGAGGGTATTTGGGGGGTTACGGCGATTGCGAATTCTTCTGTCTAGTTCATCCCACAAATGCTCGATTGGGGACAAATCGGGGCTATATGGAGGCCAATCTATAGGAACAATGTTCTGTGTCACAAGAAAGTCTCTACAGACTCTTGCAACGTGTGGTCTCGTGTTATCTTGCTGCAAGGTTAGATGATGCTGCCTAACAAACGGCACAACATGGGGCCTAAGGATCTCATCCCGATAGCGTACGGCCGTTAAATTCCCATTGACTATCACCAAAGGTGTCTTCAAACCATGGGAGATTCCCGCCCAAACCATAACTGATCCACCCCCAAATTGGTCATGCTTTAAAACACAGGCGTCTGCAAAACGTTCGCCTCGACGCCGGTACACACGTTGACGGCCATCTGCTCGAAATAACGTGAATCGAGATTCATCGGTGAAGAGCATGGACCTCCAATGTCTCATAGGAAAACGTCGGGGCATATGTGCTGTCAACCATTGCATACGACGTGCTTGACGTTGCGGTGTTAGTGGTAAACCAACGTACTGTCGCCTTGCACGCAAATTAGCCTCACGCAGTCTGTTGATCACTGTTTGGGGATGAATCCGATGGTTATGATTACCAATCGTATTCCTTGCCGTTTCATCAGCCGTTAACCTCCTGTTACGCAAGTGTGCCAGTCTTCCTGTGGCGTTAAGACATGAAACTAATCAACTAATAGTCGATTTGTGAACTCTGAAGTGTCGAGCGACGTGAAGTTGCATGCTCCCTGCCATAAGCATCGCGATAGCACGTCCTCTATCAACCTGTGCTAACCGTGGCATAATTGTAAAAGGAATTATTGTTTGCAAAAGTATTGGCGATCATGTGTCTCGATGTTAGTGATAAATTGATACTGGTTTGAATGAAAAAGAACGCATATGTTTGTACAGGCATGGTTTTTGATGTTTTTAACGCGCCGGATGTGCATAGGTTTCTCATCACACCTGGTTGATTTTGAACATTGGTTAGGGTGATAGGCAGGGTGCACTTTTATTTCCGCGATTTTTATACAGCTATGTATATTTAATACAAAATTAATAACAATTTTCCAAGTTGCGTTTTTTTTTCGTTTCAGTATATTTAATAATTTTTTATTCGCCCATCTATGAGGAGACAGATATTCATGTCAAGCATTTAATGATTTTTAACTAGTCCAGCGACGAACAGACAGATGACGTTACAATATATTTAATATATTTTGATAAGCCGAGCTATGCGGAGACAGATATTCATGTCAAGTATTTGCCTGGTAATCATTTGTGACGAGATAATATATTTAATGGGTTTTTTATAATCCCATCTATGAGAAGACAGATATTCACGTTAAATATTTAATAATTTTTTATTAACCCAGTTATGAGAAAACAGATATTCATGTTAAATATGTAATGATTTTTGATTAATCCAGCTATGAGAAGACAGATATTCATGAAACCAAGTAATCATTTTTAACAAGATAATGTTTTTAACAATTTTTCACTAGCCCAGCAATGTTTAGGAGACAGATTTAAACATTACGATATATTTAATAATTTTCAACTAGCCCAACTATGAGGAGACACTTATAAGTGACTTAGCTCCTGAGGTGAGATAGTTCCTGATATCTGCTTCTGCTTTGATAGTGTTACAGTATCCATTACATTATTTTATACATTTATGTATGTCTTTATAGTAGAGAAATTTGTCACTACAAATGCTTAATATTTAATTGACAAAAATTATGTTGGTAGATTCAAGGCTTAAAGAAAAAAGCTTATGATGCAGGGCTATAGTTTCAGGATCATATCTAAGTTTGTAAAAGATGATTTAACAAAGAGACTGAACAATGTAGTTCTTTGAGGCCTTTGATTTTTTTATCTTGGTGTTTACTATTGCTACAATTGACTGGTTATCACATTGATTTTTATTTTCTTGTCACTTAATCTCCAATCCCAAATATGTACTTCCACCACAAGGGGAGAAACTCTGGTACTGTGTGTCGTTTGTGTACCCAAGTTTGTACCATGATTCCGGTCATACACTATATATCCAAGTCATTTGTGTACCCGAGTTCGTACTATGATTCTGGTCTTACACCAAGTTCGTACCATGATTCTGGTCTTACACCAAATTCATACCATGATTCTGGTCTTACACCAAGTTCATACCATGATTCTGGTCTTACACCAAGTTCGTACCATGATTCTGGTCATACACCAAGTTCGTAACATGATTCTGGTCATACACCAAGTTCGTACCATGATTCTGGTCATACACCAAGTTTGTACCATGATTCTGGTCTTACACCAAGTTTATACCATGATTCTGGTCATACACCAAGTTCGTACCATGATTCTGGTCATATACCAAGTTTGTACCATGATTCTGGTTATACAACAAGTTCGTACCATGTTTATGGTCATACACTATATGTCCAAGTAATTTGTGTACCCAAATTTGTACCTTGATTCCGGTCTTACACTAAGTTGGTACCTTGATTCTGGTTATACACTATATGCCCAACTACCATTAAAGTATGCCCCGAAACTATACCCTCTTTTTGGTGACCTGTCTTTGAAAAGTTCCCAAGGCCAAACTGTTGTAACTTGTGATAAATTGTGTCATCAGATTTGGTATACTTTATAGAACTTAGACATGGAATCACAGATGAATTTTCTGGATAAAACAAACAATGAATAAGTTTAAACATTTGCACCTAACTTCACCATAATAACAAGTGAAAGGCCTCAGTCTACCTTCCTATGGTGACCTGTGCTCATTGCTGTGTTTGTGTAAACCCTTCCCCCCAAATCCCATATGCATTAGCCCACCCCCTCTGTCAGGCATCCACCACTCTTGATATGTCCAGGATCTAGTGGTGCGAGGAGTCACAGGGTTGATCATACATCCAATCCTTTTCTGGTAAGGAGCGTTCACATGGTGTTACACTTTTTACACTGGTCAAGGCCTAAAATTCTCCTTTGTGTCCAGGCTGCCACCATTTTCTACTGCTTTTTGGCCTTGCTGTGTCCCCGTCGTCTTGAAAGACCTCTAACTAGGACAGGTTCCTGCACATTATGTATATATGAACATGTTCTTGCTGTGCTGATCACTGTAGGAACAAACTAATAAATTTACTAACAGTAAAACAAAAAAATATCTTAAAAATTAATCAACAGCTATCATTGTAGCATGTTGACCCATATATTTTCAATACTAATTAATTGACTTACAGCTTTTAACTACAAATTTTATACATTCTCTATTTGAAAGAAATATTTAGATATTTTACAAAAATTGTGTATCTTAAAATTATCAACCAGAATCTCTCTAAGTTTGCATTTAATTATAAATAAATAATACTTGAAGAAATGTGACTGTTCTTTTTCATCAGCTGTCTGTCATGTTTCACAGAGGAATTGTCTGTTGGACATGGTAAATTATTATTATGCTTTGTTGTTTGGTACAGGATGTCTATGAGCAACCTGACAATCAGCCTCCTCCCCCACCACGTAGTGGGAGACGGGCTGTGGCTCCCCCATCATCAAAAAATACCGCTGGTACTCGTAGACCCGCAGAGATACCAGTAAATCAGCAGGAGGTATGTTGTGTTCATGTTAAAGAGGTTTTATTGTGTATTTTTATAATATTCTGATAGGAAAAATAGTACATACCCTGCAATTATTGATACCAATAATCAATATTTTGTAATTTTTGCGAAGTTCTGATTTATTGTTTAACATTTTTAACACCAATTAAAACAAAAACGGAATTGTGTAAGAAAATGAGGAATCCAAAATCATGAAAAGTCAGCTCTAATTAGTGTTGCAATTTTAGATAATTCCTTGCCAAAGTTGTCATGTATATAATTATATTCTTTTATTCTGTTACTGTATAGCATCTTTATAACAGAATATATTAGTAGAATACAAATTATTGTTATGATTTGTAACAGATAGAATTGTATAATAGTACTCTTCATCATTAGATTGCTGGTTTATTCATTGAAGATGGTATACCCCTTGTAATGCTTTTGATATACATGCAATAGAGATATAGAATGGAGATGACTGCCATGAAAATCTCTATTTTCTACACTATCTGCCTGAATAATCGATCAATTAAAAGATTAAAAGGTTCTTAAATTTGTTTCCATTGGATACATGATTTATTTGACAAATCACAAATTTTTTAATTTTAGCTCGCCTGAGCATAAGAAATAATTTGTGATGAGTTTCAAACCTTGCATATCAAATGGAAACACTATTAGGATCCTATAATATTGCTGTAGTTGATTATCATAGAAGATATAAATGGATTTTACAGAGTGGATATTTAGCTTACATCTAGCTTTGTGATGGAAGTTATAATGATGCACCTGTTCATATGTTAGTTGGGGGCATGCATGCTGGCCGCACATTATTAACATCAGTAATTCCTTGCCCAGAAATGTTGCACACCTGTAAAACTGGCAGATTTTAAATCTATCATTGATCATTGTACTATTTACACAACAGTTTATCTTAAAATTTTACTGTTTTTCAAAAGCAGTTTGATTTGGTCAGTTGAAAATTTAAAGCATTGTTAAGAAAATTAAGAATTTATCATTTTATGAAATTTTGACTTATCACATAGGTACTTATTAGTGGCATTAGATGTTTATAAAGCTAATCACAACATTCTGAAGGTCATTAATTAGACAATTAGTAATGGGATTTCATTGGTTGATGAAATAATTCATTGACCTCTTGAAAAGGCAAGAGCTTCATAAATTAGAAAGCTAAACAATTACAATTGTGAAGACATATAGATATTTTGTTTATATGGTGTACTCCTTGTACATACACTGATATTTTCTGTGGAGAGTGAATGTCTGTAGGGTATGATGTGTAATATTGACTAAAATCCACTATTGAAGGTGCATGTGGTATCACATGATAATGTTATTGTTTCTGTACAAATCCTAACAACTGACCTTTTGTATCATTACTGATATTATTTGATTGATCAGTGAAATTATTTCAACTCCATGTGATATTAATCAGTTAACTCGTTTGTAATCCAGTGGTAAAGGTATATATTATCTAACTTGGTGTGTTTATTTTGATGTGCTGTATCTATGGATCAGCACCATGCTTAAGTTGTTTAATTGATTGTAGCAATATTACGAATATATCATTGGCTTTAGAACAGCTCAACTCTGGACTTTCACTTAAAGACACTGTTCATGGAAGTATTTTTGCATCAGGTTATTTTTGTACTAGTACCATTATACACAAATTTACCTAATATTCATATTACACTCAGAAGATTATAGAAAATGGTTATATATGAGTGTAACAAATTTTTGCCCTCATTTTAAATTCATCCTCCTTGTTCATAGACCAAAATTAAAGGCATAATTTTCCCAGTGTACAGTAATGTGTTGGTCACTGGACTTGTAAGAGGATAGATAGTACGATAAAGAGTTGAGTATTTAAAGGGAGAGTTCGGGAATAAAATCAGATGGGTTAGAGGTCAAAGGTCAGTTGTTAGGTTATATTTACATTCTGTAGTTTGTGTAAATATATACATATATAAAGTGGAAGTTCATCGTTATCAAATTATACATAAAATACAGTAATTCAGTGCTGGTAAAATCTCTGCTGAACCTGTTTTGTGGTGCTAAAAGGATTCACATTTTTACACTTATCATGATGTCAGTTTATTCCACTTTATATAAAATTGTTACTGTCTATTTTGTTTCCATTTTATATGTCAGCTTCTTGAAACATGTCACAAATTTTTGTTTCATAGCAACAAAAAATTATGGAAACAGGTCTACAGTGTTACTGTTCTGGCAGTGGCTACAACACTTCACCTAAAACTTTGAGTATATGTGTGTTGCTTAAAAAGTTAAACAACCCTTTGTCCATAGCTTGATCATATACTGGGGTGAGGGACACATAGCAGTTTGTGCTTCTCAGGAAGCTGAGAATGGACTGTGCTGATATGTTTGTGTGATTTAACACTTTATTCTTATTGTTCTGGATGACATACTACAGGCCTTTTATTATGTTGTTCAAGGAGACCCTACCTTAAAATCACCGTGGCAGTTCATGGGATGATAAACTCAACAAACATACACATAGTGAACACCTCAACACATCCATCATTAACAAAATGTCTTCTAGATTTTACAGTCCAGCTACTCTGAAGGACGAGTGAGAAACTTGATTTAAATGGTTCACATTTACATTTCATTTTCTAATTAAGTACAGAGTGTTATAACAATAATTCCAATCTAACCTGTATTTAGTATAATTGTAGTATTGACATTTGAACACCCCCCCCCCCAAATAGACAGATTAGAATTAATTTGCAAAATTTGGTATTTGGAAGGGGCAGGTTGGGGAGGGAAACAACGAATGACCATAACATACAGGGACAGGCAAGACATATAATTGTGAGCAACTCTTGTTTATCTAAACACACTTTAAAGCCACTAAGACTGAAATATATCTTTGACTTGTTTCAAAAACCTGATATAAATGGAAATATATATAAGCTCATATATGTATATCTGGAGCATGTGACTAGATTGCACATTTTTTGTAGGAATATTATGAAGATCCAAGTGAATTACCTGAGGCTCCTAAACCTCCAATTGATGATCAGGTATAATGTCGTCATGGAAACTAATTAACATTTCATTTGATTGACTGTAATTAAAACTCAGGTAATACAAAGGCAACTTTGCATGTGATGATAATTGATTGAAAATTTTAGTTTTCTCTTTGCAAACTTGATTTGGCAATACACTGTAATTGATTTCAGGCATGTGTAGTACTGTTAATTGTAAACTTAGATATGTATACCATTCATTTGTCATCCATTTATACAGTAGAGGTGTTGCTAAAACGAAAATGTATAATCAGGTAGCTCATTAACACCTGTCAGTTTATGTTAATCATCTCTGACTCTGGTATATCCTTCTAAGCATAACCATAGCTGACCGTCAAACTGACTTTCTTTAAAATCTCACTATCTTCAGTTGTGCATGGTGCAGATTGTATGTCTATATGAGGAGACTTTGTCTCTAATAGATAGAGACATAGTTATACTAAGTAGAGTTTACTGAAGCTAAATAACTCACTCACTTGATGGAGATATAACAGCCAATAGCTGGCTCTGCAATTAGTTCACATGAATACATTAATGAGAGTATGATATTGAGTATGTAATTATGATTCTATCCTCTCTGTTAGCCGACATATGAGGACATGGGTGAGGAAGAACAGCGCAACCAGAAAAATAATAAGCATAAAGCACTGCCAAATCGGCCTGGAGGAAAAAGCAAGGTATACTGCATGTTACAACAAGGGCATTTAACCTAACCACTAAGAATGTATCTTTACTCATACCATTAACCAGCAACTATCAATCATCTTCCATTGTCCATCCATGACTACTAATCTGGTTTTTCTACTGTCCAGTCACCACTAATCTGGTTGTCCCCACTATCCAGTCCCCACAAATCTGGTTGCCCCACTATCCAGTCATCACTAATCTGGTTGTCCTACTGTCCAACCATCACTAAGCTGGTTGTTCCACTGTCCAGCCATCACTAATCTGGTTGTCCCACTATCCAATCATCACTAAGCTGGTTGTTCCACTGTCCAGCCATCACTAATCTGGGTGTCCTACTGTCCAGCCATCACTAATCTGGTTGTTCCACTGTCCAGCCATCACTAATCTGGTTGTCCTACTGTCCAGCCATCACTAATCTGGTTGTTCCACTGTCCAGCCATCACTAATCTGGTTGTCCTACTGTCCAGCCATCACTAATCTGGTTGTCCTACTGTCCAGTCATCACTAATCTGGTTGTCCTACTGTCCAACCATCACTAATCTGGTTGTCTTACTGTCCAGCTATCACTAATCTGGTTGTCTTACTGTCCAGCCATCACTAATCTGGTTGTCTTACTGTCCAGCCATCACTAATCTGGTTGTCCTACTGTCCAACCATCACTAATCTGGTTGTTCCACTGTCCAGCCATCACTGAACTTGTTGTCCTACTGTCCAGCCATCACTAATCTGGTTGTCCTACTGTCCAGTCATCACTAATCTGGTTGTCCCAATGTCCAGCCATCACTAATCTTTTTGTCCTACTGTCCAGTCATCACTAATCTGGTTGTCCCACTGTCCAGCCATCACTAATCTGGTTGTTCCACTGTCCAGCCATCACTAATCTGGTTGTCCCACTATCCAATCATCACTAATCTGGTTGTCCCACCATCCAGTCCCCACAAATCTGGTTGTCCCACCATCCAGTCCCCACAAATCTGGTTGTCCCACTGTCCAGCAATCACTAATCTGGTTGTCCCACTATCCAACCATCACTTATCTGGTTGTCCTACTGTCAAGCCATCATTAATCTGGTTGTCCTACTGTTCAACCATCATTAATCTGGTTGTCCCACTGTCCAGCCATCATTAATCTGGTAGTCCCACTGTCCAGCCATCATTAATCTGGTTGTCCCACTGTCCAGCCATCATTAATCTGGATGTTCCATTATCTACCCAACACTAATTTAGTTGTCCTAATCTCTAGCCACCACTAATTTGCATGGTCGTCCCTCTACCCAGTCTGTGCTAACTTGGTTGACCCACTGTCTAGCTCTCACAAAATTTGGTTGTCCAATTATCATAATAATACTTATTTGGTTTACCCACTATCTGGCTCACTAATCATGTTGTCTTGCCATCCAGCCATTGTTTTAGATAACTTGTTCTTTACAAATGTCCCAGTCACTCAGCTTTAAAACTCAATTGTTACTGTAGCAAACTCCCATTAAGGTATATCTTGCATTCATGTAATCATTTTCAATTACAAAGATTTTAATGTTGAAATCTTATCCTTTATTTCAGCCTTTTACTTCAGCTTCAAGGGGTCGCATGGCAACACCTGATGAAGACAGTGATGTAGTAAGTGTAGCCACACAATATGAAATATGCCAAAGATTTCCTCACATTCCCTAAACTCTATGTGTAGGTTGATATTATATAGTCAATTTTCACTCTTTTGCTGTTTTCAGGATGACTATGAAAAACCGAATCAACCTACTGCTCCAATCCCAAAAAGATTTCCTTCCCAGGGAAAGGGATCTTATCCCCCAGAACCATCGCCAAGGGAAGACCTGCCTGGTATTTGTTTTGTGCATTTCATGTGAAAGTTATTAAGTTTTGTATCTCATTGTCAGGATAGATTGATTTTCTTGCAATACACAGCAAATGACTGCCAAGGGTTATTTTCATAGCTGATGTCTTAACGCAACCATAGTTTAAGGATTTTTAAGATAAGAACATTTCATTGGATGCATTGATGTGTTATTTTTTAGTTGCAGAAAATCATTTCTTTGTAAATTTTCAATCTTGCTACATAAAGTGATTAAATGTCTAGTATCCCATGTTACTTCATGTTCCAATTAGTTGAAAAGGTCTTGTCCTTAGTATGGTCCTACAGTGTTATTTTTATATGTATTTATTTTTATATTGATTAGTTAAGTATAAAACTGGGAAAAATGTGACCATAACTAATGTTAACACCTCATTAATAACATTGTTTTTCAGGATATATGGACATGCAGACAACAGAATCCAAGGTAGGAAACCTTGTGTGGATTTTTTCCTGAGCTCTGTAACTCCAGAGATATTCTGAAATGTTGGTTCATTAAGGAAAGCTACCATTTTGACAAATCAGTCAATGTCATTTAAAGAATTATGTCTGACCACTTATTCTAAATATAAAAATATGATCTTATCATCATTAATGATCAAATGCAATAACCTGTTTCTCAATCTAAAGTAAATTTATGTTACACAAAACTAACCTGTTCATTTTTCAGGACCTTATTGAAGATGATATCTATGTTGTACCTGAAGGTAAGTTGACTGAAATTATATTTATCTCATGATCCTCATGTTATTATGTGAATTTGCCCTTGTAATATTTTCATGTATATAACACTTGTGTAATATGCCATGGAGCATTTTTCATTGGCTGCACCAGTCAGAAATGGATTGTAATGCTGTAATGTGGATGAAGTCATGAATTAAAACTTATTAAATCTTAGATATCTATGTTAACACTTGTGATTTTGGGATTCTCTGTTTCTGATAAAATATCATTATTTTATAGAGGAAGAAGAGAAAAAGAAACCCTCAAAAGCAGCAGGTAAGAATTAAAGACATTTCCGGACATAATAATGACCAGGAGTCCTGAACACTTGTATTGGATGATTAACAATATAAAAGGACATTTGAATTTAATATCAATGGTGTCTGAAGATTTAGACAATAACTATTTGCACTTTTTCCTTTTTCATGTGGTGTCTCTTTTGCTTCCCTGATTGACAAATACTCTTGTACTTGAGTGTGTGCTTTAACAAAAGGTCATGTTTCATCTAGTTCCTCCCATTTGTTGTATATTTGGAATCAGGTATTGAAGAAATTACAAATGGTAGGGTTGTGTTTCACACTCACCTGTAACTGATGTATTTCCTGAACATAAAAATATGTGGAGTATGTTGCCTGTCTGAACATTTGGGTTTTTTTTCTGGGTAAACCAATTTCTTCATGCATGAACAACTAGTTCCTATATACTTCTGTCTGGTCAGATTACCTGAATGATTCACTGTTAGAATACATGTTTTAGAGGTAATCTTATAGCATTTTCTAGGTCAAATTATTGCAATGAAATATGATTTCACCAATTGTAGATTCTATATTCTGCTTATTAAGTAATTATTATAGATGCACATCATTGTACTAATTTGTCTAAAAGTGATAATGCACTAGATGATTGTGCTAGATTATTTATGTTTACAGTAAGCTAGCAGATTATTTACTTTGGTTTCCATGAGGAAGCTCAGAGTCAGTCTGCCCTTGTTCTCATTATGTACACCTGTTTGCCATCTTGCCCTTTGAAATGTTATTGGTAGTTTGTTTTGGAGCTTCTCCTCTTTAGCTGTACTTACTGACAGTTTGTCTGTTGTTGTTGACAGTTTGTCTATTTTTATTGACAGTTTGTCTGTTGTTGTTGACAGTTTGTCTATTTCTATTGACAGTTTGTCTATTTTTATTGACAGTTTGTCTGTGTTTGTTGACAGTTTGTCTATTTTTATTAACAGTTTGTCTGTTTTTATTGACCGTTTGTCTGTTTTTATTAACAGTTTGTCTGTTGTTGTTGACAGTTTGTCTATTTTTATTGACAGTTTGTCTATTTTTATTGACAGTTTGTCTGTTTTTATTAACAGTTTGTCTGTTGTTGTTGACAGTTTGTCTATTTTTATTGACAGTTTGTCTATTTTTATTGACAGTTTGTCTATTTTTATTGACAGTTTGTCTATTTTTATTAACAGTTTGTCTGTTTTTATTGACCGTTTGTCTGTTTTTATTGACAGTTTGTCTATTTTTATTGACAGTTTGTCTGTTGTTGTTGACAGTTTGTCTATTTTTATTGACAGTTTGTCTGTTGTTGTTGACAGATTGACAGTTTGTCTGTTTTTATTGACAGTTTGTCTGTTGTTGTTGACAGTTTGTCTATTTTTATTGACAGTTTGTCTATTTTTATTGACAGTTTGTCTATTTTTATTAACAGTTTGTCTGTTTTTATTGACCGTTTGTCTGTTTTTAGTTTGTCTATTTTTATTGACAGTTTGTCTGTTGTTGTTGACAGTTTGTCTATTTTTATTGACAGTTTGTCTGTTGTTGTTGACAGATTGACAGTTTGTCTATTTTTATTGACCGTTTGTCTGTTTTTATTGACAGTTTGTCTGTTGTTGTTGACAGATTGACAGTTTGTCTATTTTTATTGACCGTTTGTCTGTTTTTATTGACAGTTTGTCTATTTTTATTGACAGTTTGTCTGTTGTTGTTGACAGATTGACAGTTTGTCTATTTTTATTGACAGTTTGTCTATTTTTATTGACAGTTTGTCTATTTTTATTAACAGTTTGTCTGTTTTTATTGACCGTTTGTCTGTTTTTATTGACAGTTTGTCTATTTTTATTGACAGTTTGTCTGTTGTTGTTGACAGTTTGTCTATTTTTATTGACAGTTTGTCTGTTGTTGTTGACAGATTGACAGTTTGTCTATTTTTATTGACAGTTTGTCTATTTTTATTGACAGTTTGTCTGTGTTTGTTGACAGTTTGTCTGTTTTTGTTAACAGCTTGTCTGTCTTTGTAGCTGTATTTTTTGCTTTACAATAAAATTTATTTGTATTTGCAGCTCCTCCCCCTGTGAACCGGGGAAAAAGAGATCTTCCCAAAACACCAGGTATACCAGTTTTAAGCAATTTTTGTTGTGAAATAAATACGTTATTAAGCAAATATAATGATTTACTTATTGAATTTACTTAAAACTTTATACACCGCATTTATTTAAGCAAAATCTTAGATTCAGGTACAAATCAGATGGTGTGATATAAAAAACAAATAACACAGGATTAATACTGTGGTAAATTTGAAACAGTACCACAAGATTTAGTTGTATATTATAATAAACATAATCAGATTATTTAATGCCTGGTTAATACCGTTATATACTTAATCAATGTTTTAGCCAGCTCAGCACCACAATTCAGGTTACCACCCCGACAACAGGATTCTTCATCTCTTCCAAAGCCAAACAAAAAGGAGCTTAAAAAGGAACCAGTAGTAGAAAAGACTCCACACAGGGGCCTGCCCCCACCCCCTAAAGGTGAGACAATTTACCAAGGTTGAAACACTATCCAGGGGCCTGCCCCTGCCTCTTACAGGTTAGACAATTACCCAGGTAGAGTGACACTATCTGGTGGTCTACACCAATCCCCATAGATCAGACAATTTACCCTGGTAGATACACCATCAAGGGGCCTGCCCCCACCATCTAAAGGTGAGATATTTTACCCTGGTTGAGACACCATACAGGAGCTTGCCCCACCCACTAAAGATGAAACAACTTACCAAGTTTGAGACACCATACATGCCTACTCAAACCCCTTAAATTTGAGACGATTTACCCAGGTTAAGACTCCATCCATGGGCCTACCCCAACCCCTTGCAGGAGAGATGATTTTACCCAGGTGGAGACACTATGTAGGAGTCTGCACCAACCCAGAAAGGTGGGATAATTTACTTAGGTAGAGACACCATACAGAGGCCTGCCTCCGAACTTTGAATGTGAGATCATTATCTGCCTCCACCTACTAAATGTGAGAAAATTTACCCAAGTAGGTAGAAAGACTTTATCCAGGAGCCTGCCTCCATCTTAAGGGAAACATGTAACCTAGGTAGAAAGACTTTATCCATGGGCCTGCCAAAAATCCTTAAAGGTGAGATACAACCAGAAGCATGCCCCTTGCCCAACACTGTAAAGTAGTGTGACACAATTAACCTTGTAGAGACTCCTCCAGTGGCCATGTAGAGAATCATTCAGTGACGATGTAGAGACTCATTCAGTGGCCATGAAGAGACTCATTCAGTGGCCATGTAGAGACTCATCCAGTGGCCATGTAGAGACTCATTCAGTGACGATGTAGAGACTCATCCAGTGGCCATGTAGAGAATCATTCAGTGGCCATGTAGAGAATCATCCAGTGGCCATGTAGAGACTCATCCAGTGGCCATGTAGAGAATCATTCGGTGTCCATGTAGAGACTCATCTAGTGACCATGTAGAGACTCATTCAGTGGCCATGTAGAGAATCATTCAGTGGCCATGTAGAGACTCATCCAGTGGCCATGTAGAGAATCATTCGGTGTCCATGTAGAGACTCATCTAGTGACCATGTAGAGACTCATTCAGTGGCCATGTAGAGAATCATTCAGTGGCCATGTAGAGACTCATCCAGTGGCCATGTAGAGACTCATTCAGTGGCCATGTAGAGAATCATTCAGTGGCCATGTAGAGACTCATCCAGTGGCCATGTAGAGACTCATTCAGTGGCCATGTAGAGACTCATCCAGTGGCCATGTAGAGACTCATTTAGTGGCCTGCCCCTTTTCTAAAGGTAATGTATTACAAACCACCCAGATATCTCAAAAACAATCTTAAGGTTGGTAATACATATTGTAAAGATGTTATATTGCAATCAGAAAATTTATGAATGATGTTTTGATAACTACATGGTCACCTTCACAAATGGCAAGTGTGAAACTTATTTATTTGATGGTATATCATGTAGCATACAAGATGGTAATACAGCTGTATGCTTCACAATGGTTATTCATCTGCTGAAGTTGACGATGTAGTCATCAAACCTCACAAATAACTTTTCTAACTATTTGTGATATAAGATCCTCTATTCTACAATTTCCACACATAGACTAGTATAAATAAGTAAACAGAAAGTATAATTTGGACTAGTTACTGTCTCCTAAACGTTACACCATTTACCCAGGTGGCATGGTGGCGTCAGAATGTGAGATCATGCGAGGTTTCTAATGTCTTCCTATTGCTTTGCTTTTCATATTTTATGATATTTCAACACTATACATTTAATGGCGTGACAAATAGACAAGTTGTCCTTGTGGTATACCAAGATTAAATTTTTATTAAAAGACACTGACTTGTTATGATGCTGATGAACTTTAGAAGCTGAAGATGCTGGAATACAAAAGATAGAGGGCTTTATGTGCAAGGTTATGTAAGGTTTATATTTCATATTTCTTATTTATCATAACAGGAGGAGGTCGCCCCCTTCCAACAGTTCCTCAAACCAGTGACCAGGTAGGTACATGAAGTTAATGTTGGCTATTTTATCTAATCAAGAAAACAAATTTTTAGGGTCAGTTATTACAGTGATAATCAGTTTTTAGCAGGTATATCACTAAACATGCTACTGTTTAATTGATCACTTGAGTATGTGTGCTAAATACAGTTCTATGTTTAAGTGTACAGTAAATATGTTCTCTTTAGCGATAATTAGCTATGTTTTCATTCAGCTGCTGAAGCAATAGTTTTGTGGACAAATCACTGTAGCCTTCAATACTGTGACATTTTCAATATAACGTGAAATTTCTCTCAATTTAACATACTTCATACAGATATAAACGCCAATTGTTTACTGAGATCCACTGCTTTTCAGATGAGGAATTTTTATTTCAGTTTCAATGTTGTAGGGTCGAGATCACCTTTTCCATTTTTAGAAAATCATTGTCAGAACTCTAGTGGCTTCATTTCGTGGCCGATTTTGATCAAACTGAATAAACTTATCAAAGACAATAATATCTTGGACAAGTTGGAGTCTCAGGACTGTCATGTCAAAGTTGAGGCCACTCTTACCATTTTTAGAAAATCATCTTTAGTTCAAAATTGTTACTTAATATAGATTTGCTCAAACTTCACATTCATATAAAGGATCATAATATCGTAGTTTGAGTTTCAAGAATGGAGGATCAAGATCATCATTACTATTTTAGGAAAATCTTTGTTAGCACTCTTGTATAATTTCTAGAAGAATTTTAACCAAACTTCACATCCATATATCAGACAAGTTTATCGGTTACAGGGTTTGAGTCAAGTCACTGGTACTATTTTAAGAACACTCTTGTCAGTACTTTTTAGATTTTGATTAAACATCAGACAACTGAGCATTTTTACTCTGCAAATCGAGTGTTTTAACTGTGAGGGAATGTGTAATATTTGTGATTGCCTTGATTCGTGAAACAATTTGTTATATCTTTATTGTTCTACATTCTTTCTACATTTCTTTCATTGATGTTCGTTTGTTAGAATCAGAGTAAGCTTTACTGCAATTACCTTATACCAATATGCCCTCTATACCACTTCTGGTTCAATCCAAGGGCCACAATCCAATATGGCTGACATTCAAACATTGGCTTCAAACAAAATGCTGTACAGAATCACCCATCTTTCTTTTTATTGTTTGCGAGTACACATGAAATCATTTATATATAGAATGTGATTTTGTGGTTTATAAAGAACTCATCTATTTAAACTAGCTTCTTTTTAACATGTTACATATATAATGGCAGCTCCCATCCCCAGTAACGTTATGCCCCACATGTGTGAACATAAACACATTTTAATTGGTAAGACAATTTACAGAATTGGTTAGGATTATGTCTTGTGCAACCAAAATACAAGTGCAAGAAATGTATTTATTTATGTTTTGTTTTGTGTGTTAGTTTGAAGATGAAGATGATGAATTGGAGGTAAAAAGTGTTTGTATATACAGTATATTAGGTATCCAACCAATTGTCTCTAGCTTATTGCATTTTGATGTATACAATATTCACAGTTTTGAAACAAAGCATGAAACAAAAGCAGACTGTGGTATATCGTTGCATGTTAAAATTTGTTTTACATTATGTATATCCTAATGAATAGTCCATTAATCCAGCACCACTCAAAAATTCACTTGTTTAATTGTTTGGTAGAAAATGTGAAATCATATACTCATTTTATTTGCTTGCAATTTATATTTGCCTTTAGTGAAACTCTCTAGCTTTTTGTCCTCATATAGGAAGTATAACTGGCCAGTTGCCTCTTTTTGCCTTCAATGACAGTTTTTTTGATAGTTTTGCTGATGCAGAATTATCTTTTGTATTGTGGAATGCTCTTTATACAGGTGAATATTTTGTGTTTTTACATGACATTTCCTTGCACTTTATAATTCTCTAAATAGGTCTTGTAGCTTGTCTGTTCTAGGACTTTTAATATAAACATTGTAGCTTTTCATTCAATGTTTCAAATTGACAAAAATTTTGTAAAAAATGTTAGGTTTTAACTTGTTTCTTAAGTAAGTCACACTTAATTATCAGGTGTAAACTAATACAGTATACTGTATAGCTGACCAGTTTCATGGAGAGGATATTTTCACTATTTCATGGTCTATTCGTGTGATATTTAATCTGTAAATAATAAGATGCAGTTTTAAAAAAATTCTTTTACATCCAAATTGCAAAATTTTAATTTATCAAAATATAATTTGAACATATAAAAGAAAATCATGAAAATTTTAACTTGTGAAAATTATTAGCAATATGGTATATATTCCTCAAGTTGGAATAGCACAAGCTTTTACATGTAGTCATTAAAAGCAACTTGTATATGTTTGACATGACATGACAAGACAGGGAGACCATTTTTATATTGTATTGCTGAACAAATTTATTTCAAAATGAAGAGATAATTAATGGGGTTTAATAGAAGTGTCTAGTTAAAGGGGCCATGTAGTCAAGCAACATTTTTTCTTTTCAGTTTGAAATAAAAAAATATATGTGTCCAGATTAACAAATCTGTACATAATAGTTTTCTCCTACATAGCCAATGTCCAGTCTGGTCAGTTTAAAATCTGGGGAAGCCCCCGCCAAAAATACCAATTATCCAAATATAGCGCGAAATGCTGCGCCCTCTGGCGGGAAGAAGACTGTTTGTAAACAAATGCACATGATATGGCGATAATGTTTTATCACTTACCAGTAGTCTAGGAGAGTCTTCACAACTTCTTCATTACTTTGGAAAAAGTTTCTTTCTTGAACTGATCCCACCTCTTATACTGTTCTGCTATTGTTATTCGAGGGTGAGCTTTCTGCCACTGGCCTTTTCTACGTTTTGTGTGCGATGACATGACCTGTTTGCCACAACAACGCTTCAGCTGGGAAGCCATTTTTGTTTAGTTTTTTCAGACGCGTTTGCGCATGCTCACAGATCAAAGTGTGCATAGAAGGCTTGCTCATTTGCATTTTATCGTGTCTGTACAGACGATTAGTATTTCCCATATAATTAATTAAAAACCGATAGAAAACATGCGCTTGTATCAATATGTCGGTGAGGTTAGTTCATAATGATTATAGAACTACATTTTAACTGATGAATTTGTAACTAAAAAAAACAAAAACAAAAACATACCTGACTAAATAGCCCCTTTAAATCATCAAAATTGACTTACAGAGTGACTGATGATTTTTTTCTAATATTTCAGGAGGACTTAAACTCTTATGATTGGTATAGAGGGACCCTGACACGACAAGAAGGTGACACAAAACTTAAACAGAACCATCAAGTAAGTCATTGAAATGATATTTTGAAGTGTTGACAATGAATTTTATTAAGAAATGATGCTCAAACTTGATTTAGTATCCTCATATATTTAACTGCTGTAAACATCATTATATTTTGCTTGTGATCAGCATATAGATCTTATTTAAAAGACACCCTGTGTAATTGAATTTACTTGACCAGTGTGTTCCGTTTCTTCCCTATTTACCAGAATGGTATGTTTGCCATAAGAGATTCCAGTAAGAAAGCAGCAGATGGTGACCCTCGACCTTATACACTCATGATATTTAATGATAACAAAGTGTACAACCTCCCTATACGGAAACGTGTGGCAGATGGACACTATGCCATGGGTAATCCGAAACCTAGAGAAGAGGTAAGAAGAATATAGGTTTCCTGTATAATCTAGTCACAAAGATTTCCTTCAATACTTCAATTAAATGAAGCAAAAATATAAGTACAATTGTGTATTCTACTTGGATAAAGAATAAAGTTGAAATAAAGGAACATTGAATATTTACAAAGATTAGAAATAGTACAAATTGTAAATTTTCTCTGAAAGTACATGTGAGCACTGATAAATAACTAAATCTGCTCCATTTCTAATCACCAATGTAGAAATTAAATTGATGGATAAGAAGAATGCATTTAAATGTAAACAAATCAGGTCTCCATTGAAAAATACACTTTTGTTTTCCCCTTAAAAATAATTGTTATTTTCCTCCTAATAAACACTCATTATTATCCCCTTAATAAACGCTCTTTGTTTCCTCTTAAAAAACATTCTTTTTCTCACTTCAAAGGTACAATTTATTTTCACCTTAAAAATGCTCTTTATTTTCCCCTTAATAAATACTATGTATTTTCCCTTTGATAAACTCTCTTTATTTTCCCCTTAATTAACACTTTTTATTTTCCCCTTAATAAATACTCCTTATTTTCCCCTTGATAAACACACTTTGTTTTCCTTTTAATAAATACTCTTTGTTTTCTCCTTAATAGATACTCTATTTTCCTCTTGATAAATACTCTGCATTTTCCTCTTGATAAACACTCTGTATTTTCCCCTTGATAAATCATCTGTTTTTTCCCCTTTATAAATACTCTGCATTTTTCCCTTTATAAATACTCTTTATTTTCCCCTTGATAAATCCTCTGTATTTTCCCCTTTATAAATACTCTGCATTTTTCCCTTTACTCATTCAAGTAACTTATCTTGTTCTCACTGAAACATTTCAGACATTTCCAAAACTAGCTGACTTGGTGGCTTTCTTCTCCAAGAGAATGATTGTGTTAGCTGGGAGTGGACAAACTCATCTTAAGATGCCTTTACCATAGTATAGACCTACCATGAAATGCCAAATTGGAATTTAGTGGATCTTGAAGTGATGTTCTGTGGACCATAAAGCTCAACAATAGACCATGTATTGACATTCAGTGGACCATAAACCTTGGTTCATGGGGCCTTGTAGACATGCTCCATGACCTCAGGTCTCGATTCATTGGACCTTGTGGTGATCATTAGACCCTATAGTGATGTTCAGTGGACCATAAACCTTGGTTCATGGGGCCTTGTAGACATGCTCCATGACCTCAGGTCTCAATTCATTGGACCTTGTGGTGATCATTAGACCCTGTAGTGATGTTCAGTGGACCATAAACCTTGGTTCATGGGGCCTTGTAGACATGCTCCATGACCTCAGTTCTCGATTCATTGGACCTTGTGGTGATCATTAGACCCTGTATTGATGTTCAGTGGACCACTAACCTTGGATCATGGGGCCTTTTAGACATGCTCCATGACCTCAAGTCTCGATTCATTGGACCTTGTGGTGATCATTAGACCCTGTAGTGACATTCAGTGGATCATAAAGCTGCAGTTTGTCAGACCTTGTGGTGACATTCTATGGACTTCAAAATGATGCTCAATGAACCATGGATAAATGCAGCTCGTTTTGACCGTAAACAGAACATTACAATGGAACATAGATCAATACTACATTAAAAAATGTCAAGACATTCACTACACTATATTATGTTCATTGTAACCACCTTTAAAGGAATGATAAAGTGAAGCTTCATGTTGCATAACAAGGTGGAATTTAATTTCACAAACTACGAGAATAGTTTTGATGTTACCGTATCTGGAATTTGGTTTTGCCCTGCCAGTGTCACTTGAAGTGTGACTAGTTGATTCTGAAAGAAACCCAGCAGAATGTTGGTACTGGCATTGACAATCCATTTACCGAACCTATGGGTGATCAAGTCCATCTACCCATTGCACTGTCACTGTCTAAGGAATTACCCTATTATAGATGTGTCCTAGAGGTCACCCATGTCATGACCTATGGAACGTCTTTATCATTAACATCAGTCTGACTAATATCATTTTGTGATACTTTATTTTAGCTGTTTGATGGATAATGAAGTACGAGATACACATTTGAATGTAAGTGAGAAATGATATCCCAGTGGAAAAAAGGCAGTATTGTACATCATTGTTACTATATATAATGCTTTCTGTGTACATATATGTTACTGTTAAACATGGAAAGTTATGCATGGAGGTGACGTACACTTGCTATGAATAATGTGCTCATTTCCACCATTGCTGGTTCAGCTGTTTTATGGTAATTTATGTACGTTGGTTTTAATTTTAGAATCTATTCTTCTCAGCAAATTAGTATACAACAGGAATGTCTCAAAACTGGGTCATCAGCAACCACACATGTTACACATGATACCCCCACCCTCCCTTAAGTGCTGTCTGAACTTATTTTTCTGGGAAATCAGCATGGATGTGCTTACCTCATTTGAACCTTCCATTAAAATATGTAGCCTTTCAACTTTCTATATATTTAAGAATATGGTTACAAATTTACAAAAATGTATCTTGTTCAAAGTATATTTTTTGTTATCATGGTTTTGTGTCAACACACATCATGTAGAAACTGTTCTCCCCTCCCCCACCAGCACACGCCTCCCCCACCAGTACACCCCTCCCAACCCCTCCCCTTTTTCTTCTGTAAGCCCAGAAAACTTTTTAGATCAATACTACATAATAAATGACCTGTCTCGCTTTCAATTCAACAAACTTCCTTAACCTAGATGTAAAATCTTCCACATTCAGGTATGATTTTTTTCCAAACTAGAAACTGTCAAGTTCTTCATTTAATACCAAGTTGTTCAGCATATCAGAAAGTCTGTTGGAACACTTGTTAACATTGCCTTTATAAATAGTACGTGAAAAAAGTCTTTCAAGTTAAAATTTGTATACATGTAAGTAAAAAGAACATACATAGATATTTTATATAATTTTTTGAATGATTTAACATCATTATCAGTTATGTGAGTTATTGTTGTATGGGACTTTTGGATCCACTTTGGAGCTAGGCCAGATATACACATGTATTATTATATTTTTATACTGAAACATTCCCATTGTTATGCAAAACTGAAGTATATAAAATGTATTCTGTTACATATTTTAATTGTATAAATCTTCACAATTTTATGAATGTTGTATACATTGTTACATTTTACCAAATCATTTCATTGTTTTATGCTAATGAGGTGTGTTTGTTGCCTGGGAGCCAGTAGATGGCAGTGCCTGAATATGATTATTCTAAATTGTATTACCTACATTCTGTTAGATTCTGCTCTAAAACACTAATTGTGAGCTCACTTAGGTGAAAAATGAATTACTTAATCCATTAATCACACAATCCTTTTCATAAGGATTCAGAAATATATTTTTTACATCAGAAATACAGTGCCTTGAATGATATTTTAGCAATGTACAATCTTACGTACTGTGTACTACATTTTGTATGCATGAATAAGTTAGTATATTTTACATGACTGTATATCTGAAAAATAAAAAAAGAAATAAATCATTGGCATGATATTCATATCTTTTTTTCTTTTTATGTCCTGATCGTCTTAATACAAGATTAAACTAATTTATTAAAAAAATTAAATCTCCCTTTACATCAATCATATTAATCTCCCTTTACATCAATCATATTAATCTCCCTTTACATCAATCATATTAATCACCCTTTACATCAATCATATTAATCACCCTTTACATCAATCATATTAATCACCCTTTACATCAATCATATTAATCTCCCTTTACATCAATCATATTAATCACCCTTTACATCAACCATATTAATCTCCCTTTACATCAACCATATTAATATCCCTTTACATCAACCATATTAATCTCCCTTTACATCAATCATATTAATCTCCCTTTACATCAATCATATTAATCACCCTTTACATCAATCTATTAATCATCAATCATATTAATCACCCTTTACATCAATCATATTAATCTCCCTTTACATCAATCATATTAATCTCCCTTTACATCAATCATATTAATCTCCCTTTACATCAATCATATTAATCTCCCTTTACATCAATCATATTAATCACCCTTTACATCCTAAATATTAGATATGGTGAAAGTGTGTAAAGGGGTTTAATGTGGGGAAAACCAAAACCAAATGTAATTGGTCACTTCAGGTGGTCATAACTATTATTCTTACCGGTACTTTCAATTGGGAAATATAATTCCGGTCGACTGGTTGAAAAGTGCTGCACTTCACTTGTCTTACTAAATTGAACATATACTGTAGTCAACCACTCAAAGATAAGGAACTGAAAATTTTCCATTGTATTTATTTTTTATTATATGAAGAGAGTAATATGTTAGGTTAAACCAATCATTCATTAACGAAACCTGCCTCCAATATAACAAATTAATTATGTCAGAACAGGTAAAACTCCAACATTGTTGAAGAGCCACTATACCACTGTTTCACAGTCAATAAAATATTAGAGAATCGTGTTAATCCCACAAAGTTAAAAAAAAAAATTTTTCTGAAGAAAAGTCACAATAGCTGATAACACCACCATCATGTAACTAAATCTTTATATCCAATGGTACGTCGTGTAACTAAATCTTTATATCCAATGGTACGTCGTGTAACTAAATCTTTATATCCAATGGTACGTCGTGTAACTAAATCTTTATATCCAATGGTACGTCGTGTAACTAAATCTTTATATCCAATGGTACGTCGTGTAACTAAATCTTTATATCCAATGGTACATCGTGTAACTAAATCTTTATATCCAATGGTACGTCGTGTAACTAAATCTTTATATCCAATGGTACATCGTGTAACTAAATCTTTATATCCAATGGTACAGTCTTAACTATGGAATCTTGCTGCCTTTTCCAATGTTGATATTCTTTATGATTATTGTAGGTGTGTGCTATGATAATGAAATACTATAAAACTGCTTCACTCATCCATATATCCCTGAGATTCCACATATTCCAAGGCCTTCTTCTTCACGCTCTCTACTGTCTCTGAATCTCCATACTCTTTTTCAAATTCCAAATATTTTTTGTAGAAAAATTTCATTTTCTTTGCTGATTGCTTCAGATGAATTACCCTCTCAAACAATTGTCTGTAAATAAAACAAGGATTGTACTGTAATGTGATTTGTTTCATTTTTAACAGCCCATCATCAGATAATTAGGGACACATCATATACAGTAATACCAAATATAGGGCAGTTTACTATGTAAGCAGTTGCAATTGGTGTCACATATTTTGTGAATAGTTTCGAATCAATGATTCAACAGACTTCAGATGGCTTCAGTAAATACTACAGGCTTCTATCTAACTATATATTTTTTCACAATGACAAATTTGATGAAGATTTGAGAGACCACTATTCATTTATCATAAAAAAGATCATTTCAAAGATCATACATTTTTGTATTATAAGAAACAAGGAAACAGTATTTGGTGTTGGTGTTGATATCTTTTCACTGACCTTGCCTCCTGCCATTCACCAGACTTCGTCACCATGTCCAAGTAAACTGACCACAAATCTGTTCTTTTAGGGTAGTTTCCAAGAACACTCTCGAACATGGTCCGGCCACGTTCTGCGTCTCCAAACTTAAACTCCAGCTGGGCACTCTTTGCTATCATTTCCACATCTGTAAAGTAATGATGCACAAACTAATTATTAACATAGATATAGTAGTCTAGGGACTGCTTTGTATGTCTCACAAGTCTTATAAATATTGCACATAAGTTCCAAACATGTTCTAACTGTCAACATCATACTTAATGTCCACAAGATTATGTCTGTTTTTACCAGATTTATTAGGTATTTTGTTTTGCCTTGTTTTTTTCCTGAAAGAACTGGACCAAAATAACCAATCATGCATAAGAATTGGTTGATGCTATGATAGTGGTATGTCTGTTGTATAATACATGTACCATTTTCTTTCTAAGTAAGAAGGAGAGCTGAACAAACAACTTTACTTTTTATATTGACAAGCTTACCAGCACAGACAGAACAGCATCATTTCATTCCACCACCTATGTTTACTTACGGTGCTTGATATTGAGACTTTTAAGACACCGCTGTAGAAGTTTGCGTGCATCGTCAACACGTTCATGTTTGTAATAGAACATCATGAAACTGCCCCATACATCCTTATCCTGGCTGTACCGACGTATCAACTTGTTGTGCAGATTTTCAGCCTCCTATAAACAAAAATATAGACAATAAAAAAAAACAGTAAAATAAGGTAGTGTCTCAGGACAGGTAAGATAAATGGGGATGGTCTCCTTGGACAGGGGAAGATAAAATATGGGTTACTCTAGAAGTGAGGAGGGCATAACTGGAATGACCTCTTGTGAGAAAGAGAGAAGAGTAAAATAAGCATGTCTTTTCGCAGAGACAATGGTGATAAAAGGATGTTCTCTAAGGACAAATGATAATGGAATACAGTTGGTCTCTAAAACAGACTATGGTAACATAGGGATGGTCTCTAAGGACAAATGATGATGAAATACAGTTTGTCTCTAAGGACAGACTATGGTAACATAGGGATGGTCTCTAAGGACAAATGATGATGAAATACAGTTTGTATCTAAGGACAGACTATGGTAACATAGGGATGGTCTCTAAGGACAAATGATGATGAAATACAGTTTGTCTCTAAGGACAGACTATGGTAACATAGGGATGGTCTCTAAGGACAAAGGATAATGGAATACAGTTTGTCTCTAAGGACAGACTATGGTAACATAGGGATGGTCTCTAAGGACAAAGGATAATGGAATACAGTTGGTCTCTAAAACAGACTATGGTAACATAGGGATGGTCTCTAAGGACAAAGGATTATGGAATACAGTTGGTCTCTAAGGACAGATGGTAGTAATATAGTGATGGTCTCTAAGGACAATGGATAATGAAACACAGTCAGTCCCTAAGGACAGATGGTGGTAATACAGGGATGGTTTCTAAGGACAATGGATGATGAAACACAATTGGTCTCTAAAACAGACAATTACAATATAGGGATGGTCTCTAAGGACAATGAAACACAGTCGGTCCCTAAGGACAGACTATGGTCACATAGGGATGGTCTCTAAGGACAATGGATGATGGAATACAGTTGGTCTCTAAGGACAGATGGTGGTAATACAGGGATGGTCTCTAAGGACAATGGATGATAGAATACTGTTAGTTTCTTAGGACAGACGAAGGTAATAAAGGTTTTATCATGGGTGTTTGATCTGGTGGACTTATTCTATTCTGTTTCATCTTGGTTGTATCAATCTTGCATAGTTTCAATTGTTACTTACATCTATTTTGCCCGACTTGACATAAATGTTGATCATTTGTGTGTAGATCTTGGATGGCTCATTCTGAGCAACTGCACGCTCCAGCACCTTATGGAGCAAATCTGAGCTTCCATACATGTTCTCTAGGTTCAGATAGGCTACCCAAACATTCTGTTTCTCCTGCTCCTCCCTGTGTACATTACAATATTCAGTGTGGAATTCATTTACTTGTGTATAGTACAATATTCAGGTTGGAATCAATGACTCTGAGTAGTGCAATGTGCAATGGAATAAAATGTATATATACAAAACAATATTCAGTACAGAATCAAGTAGGCGTATACAATGTACAGGACATTTAGATCTATTAGCCTGGATTTACCTTGTCATTGCTGCACAGTCTAACTTAAGCTGGATACTAACCTAAATGAAATAGTCTTGAGTGCACGCTCAGCTACAGCACGTGCCTTGTCAATCTCTGCTGTCTGTAGATGGAATGCCATATATTGCAGCCACACCAGGGAGCTGTCTGGAGAGGTCAACACCAGACGGTCAAATTCGTCCACTGAAGCTGGTTGGTTGTCTCCTTGTAGTTGTCGCCTTTCAAACTAAATCACAAATGTATTATATTTGAGATAAAAAAATCTTTATTATTGAAAATATTCATGTCCTTTTTGAAAAAAAGAAGTGACTTTTTTACTACTTATCTTCCCATTATAATTACATGGTCACACATTACTTTACAAGATTCTCCAACTAGCCGCTTTAAGTATCAATGTATCATGTACCTCATCTAGTTTTTTTTCTTCCTCTTTCTTCTCCGCTCGAATTTCAGCTTTTGTTTTCTTTGTTGCTTTCTGAAATGTATATAGCAGTTTTCATTTATTATATCTATACATAGAATTGAATGGGAAAACATCAAAAGTTTGGACATCAAATAGTGGGAAAATGCCTATAGGTAACATGTCTGAAAATTTACAGGACAATGACCATTGGTTTTTTAATTTTACAAGTTTGGATACTTATAGGACAATGACCATTGGTCTTTAATTTTACAAGTTTGGATACTTATAGGACAATGACCATTGGTCTTTAATTTTACAAGTTTGGACACTTGTGGGACACTGACCATTGGTTTGTACAATTTTAGGAAATTGGTGGGATACTAGCTATACCTCATAAATATGGGACACCTGAAGCAAACTGGCTTGTGCATCTTTGAGACTATAATTTTAAGCTATCAGCTTTACCTATGGGACATTGGCTTTAGATAATATTCTAGGACATGGGTGGGACACTGACTTTAGATAATATTTTAGGACACTGACGGGACACTAGCTTTAGATAATATTCTGGGATACTGATGGGACACTGGCTTTAGATAATATTCTAGGACACTGATGGGACACTAGCTTTGGATAATATTCTAGGACACCGATGGGACACTGGCTTTGGATAATATTCTTGGACACTGATGGGACACTAGCTTTGGATAATATTCTAGGACACTGATGGGACAATGACTTTAGATAATATTTTAGGACACTGATGGGACACTAGCTTTAGATAATATTCTAGGACACCGATGGGACACTGGCATTAATTAAATCATAAGCTTGGACACTTATGGGTATTCAAGAGATGCTAAATCTAAGTACATTTGCATGAAAAAAGTGTTAAAAAGACCTATATCTGTTATTAATGAAAGTTGGGAGCTAGATTCTTTGTATAAGTTAAAGACACTCTACCAGATCATCCATCTCACTGTCCTCCTCGTCACTATCAGACTGTGTGGCGACAGAATCCTTTGACAGGTCGGTGTCCCAGGAGAACCCTGTTGTTACTGACAGGCGTGGCATTTTACTGACCTCACATGCAGGAAGAGTGACTAAAGCCTGTCAACCAAACAGATATCTTTCTGTCTGACTCTACAGTTTTTCCTTCCTTCAGACAGAATTTTTTTATTTCTTTACCTTGGTTTGTTTTACTTCAGTTTTTTCTGCTGCATCCTTTGACGAGTTATCTCCCTTAGCACTGTTCACGACTGTCACAGGAAGCTTTCTCTTGCGTTCTTTGTCCTTTGTGCTGTTAAATCTACATCAAGGTCTCACTCACAATTTAGTCACTTTGTACACAATTTAGTGTACAGGAAGATTCAAATCCATCAACTCACTCACAATTTAGTGTACAGGAAGATTCAAATCTACCAACTCACTGACAATTTAGTGTACAGAAAGATTCAAATCCATCAACTCACTCACAATTTAGTGTACAGAAAGATTCAAATCCATCAACTCACTCACAATTTAGTGTACAGGAAGATTAAAATCCATCAACTCACTCACAATTTAGTGTACAGAAAGATTCAAATCCATCAACTCACTCACAATTTAGTGTACAGGAAGATTCAAATCCATCAACTCACTCACAATTTAGTGTACAGAAAGATTCAAATCCATCAACTCACTCACAATTTAGTGTACAGAAAGATTAAAATCCATCAACTCACTCACAATTTAGTGTACAGAAAGATTAAAATCCATCAACTCACTCACAATTTAGTGTACAGAAAGATTCAAATCCATAAACACACTCACAATTTAGTGTACAGAAAGATTCAAATCTACAAACTCATTGACAATTTAGTGTACAGGAAGATTCAAATCCATCAACTCACTCACAATTTAGTGTACAGAAAGATTAAAATCCATCAACTCACTCACAATTTAGTGTACAGAAAGATTAAAATCCATCAACTCACTCACAATTTAGTGTACAGAAAGATTAAAATCTACCGCCTCACTGACAATTTATTGTACAGGAAGATTCAAATCTACCAACTCACTCAAAATTTAGTGTACAGAAAGATTCAAATCCATCAACTCACTCACAATTTAGTGTACAGAAAGATTCAAATCCATCAACTCACTCACAATTTAGTGTACAGAAAGATTCAAATCCATCAACTCACTCACAATTTAGTGTACAGAAAGATTCAAATCCATCAACTCACTCACAATTTAGTGTACAGAAAGATTAAAATCCATCAACTCACTCACAATTTAGTGTACAGAAAGATTAAAATCCATAAACACTCTCACAATTTAGTGTACAGAAAGATTCAAATCCATCAACTCACTCACAATTTAGAGTACAGAAAGATTAAAATCCATCAACTCACTCACAATTTAGTGTACAGAAAATCCATTCAAAATTTAGACAGAAAGATTAAAATCCATCAACTCACTCACAATTTAGAGTACAGAAAGATTCATATCCATCAACTCACTCACAATTTAGTGTACAGGAAGATTCAAATCCATCAACTCACTCACAATTTAGTGTACAGAAAGATTAAAATCCATCAACTCACTCACAATTTAGTGTACAGGAAGATTCAAATCCATCAACTCACTCACAATTTAGTGTACAGAAAGATTCAAATCCATCAACTCACTCACAATTTAGTGTACAGAAAGATTCAAATCAAACAACTCACTCACAATTTAGTGTACAGAAAGATTAAAATCCAAAAAAACACTCACAATTTAGTGTACAGAAAGATTCAAATCCATCAAGATCACTCACAATTTAGTGTACAGATTAAATTCAACAATTTAGTGTACAGAAAGATTCAAATCAAACTCACTCACAATTTAGTGTACAGAAAGATTCAAATCCATCAACTCACTCACAATTTAGTGTACAGGAAGATGCAAACCCATCAACTCACTCACAATTTAGTGTACAGAAAGATTCAAATCTATCAACTCACTCACAATTTAGTGTACAGAAAGATTCAAATCCATAAACACACTCACAATTTAGTGTACAGAAAGATTCAAATCCATCAACTCACTCACAATTTAGTGTACAGAAATATTAAAATCTACAAACTCATTGACAATTTAGAGTACAGGAAGATTCAAATCCATCAACTCACTCACAATTTAGTGTACAGAAAGATTCATATCCATCAACTCACTCACAATTTAGTGTACAGAAAGATTAAAATCCATCAACTCACTCACAATTTAGAGTACAGAAAGATTCATATCCATCAACTCACTCACAATTTAGTGTACAGGAAGATTCAAATCTACAAACTCACTCACAATTTAGTGTACAGGAAGATTCAAATCTACAAACTCATTGACAATTTAGTGTACAGGAAGATTCAAATCTACAAACTCACTCACAATTTAGTGTACAGAAAGATTCAAATCTACAAACTCATTGACAATTTAGTGTACAGGAAGATTCAAATCTACAAACTCACTCACAATTTAGTGTACAGGAAGATTCAAATCTACAAACTCACTCACAATTTAGTGTACAGAAAGATTCAAATCTACAAACTCATTGACAATTTAGTGTACAGGAAGATTCAAATCTACAAACTCATTGACAATTTAGTGTACAGGAAGATTCAAATCTACAAACTCATTGACAATTTAGAGTACAGGAAGATTCAAATCCATCAACTCACTCACAATTTAGTGTACAGGAAGATTAAAATCCATCAACTCACTCACAATTTAGTGTACAGAAAGATTCAAATCTATCAACTCACTCACAATTTAGTGTACAGAAAGATTCAAATCCATAAACACACTCACAATTTAGTGTACAGAAAGATTCAAATCTACAAACTCACTCACAATTTAGTGTACAGAAAGATTAAAATCCATAAACTCACTCACAATTTAGAGTACAGGAAGATTAAAATCCATCAACTCACTCACAATTTAGTGTACAGGAAGATTAAAATCCATCAACTCACTCACAATTTAGTGTACAGAATCAGACTTCACAAATCCATCAACTCACTCACAATTTAGTGTACAGAAAGATTAAAATCTACCAACTCACTCACAATTTAGTGTACAGAAATATTAAAATCTACAAACTCATTGACAATTTAGTGTACAGGAAGATTCAAATCCATCAACTCACTCACAATTTAGTGTACAGAAAGATTAAAATCTACCGCCTCACTCACAATTTGGTGTACAGGAAGATTAAAATCCATCAACTCACTCACAATTTAGTGTACAGGAAGATGCAAACCCATCAACTCACTCACAATTTAGTGTACAGAAAGATTCAAATCTATCAACTCACTCAATTTAGTGTACAGGAAGATTCAAATCCATCAACTCACTCACAATTTAGTGTACAGAAAGATTCAAATCCATCAACTCACTCACAATTTAGTGTACAGGAAGATTCAAATCCATCAACTCACTCACAATTTAGTGTACAGAAAGATTCAAATCCATAAACACACTCACAATTTAGTGTACAGAAAGATTCAAATCTACAAACTCATTGACAATTTAGTGTACAGGAAGATTCAAATCTACAAACTCATTGACAATTTAGAGTACAGGAAGATTCAAATCCATCAACTCACTCACAATTTAGTGTACAGAAAGATTAAAATCTACCAACTCACTCACAATTTAGTGTACAGAAAGATTAAAATCTACCAACTCACTCACAATTTAGTGTACAGAAAGATTCAAATCCATCAACTCACTCACAATTCAGTGTACAGAAAGATTAAAATCCATCAACTCACTCACAATTTAGTGTACAGGAAGATTCAAATCCATCAACTCACTCACAATTTAGTGTACAGAAAGATTAAAATCCATCAACTCACTCACAATTTAGTGTACAGGAAGATTCAAATCCATCAACTCACTCACAATTTAGTGTACAGGAAGATTCAAATCTACAAACTCACTCACAATTTAGTGTACAGAAAGATTCAAATCTACAAACTCATTGACAATTTAGTGTACAGGAAGATTCAAATCTACAAACTCATTGACAATTTAGTGTACAGGAAGATTAAAATCCATCAACTCACTCACAATTTAGTGTACAGGAAGATTAAAATCCACAAACTCACTCACAATTTAGTGTACAGGAAGATTCAAATCTACAAACTCGTGTACAGGAAGATTCAAATCTACAAACTCACTCACAATTTAGTATACAGGAAGATTCAAAACCATCAACTCACACAATTCAGTGTACAGAAAGAACACATTCCCAAGATTTCACAATTTAGTGTACAGGAAGATTCAAATCTACCAACTCACTGACAATTTAGTGTACAGAAAGATTCAAATCCATCAACTCACTCACAATTTAGTGTACAGGAACAAATGTAAAATGAAAACACTGAATCACATTATCTATCAGTGATGAAGATCAATAAATGAGTATTGATCATATAAAAATGTTATATCAACATTAACTGTTGACTTTCTATACAGCTTTAAAGCTGATAATTTTGTCACTTCATCCTATTTGCTTTAGAATGTCACACTGTAAATGTACCTATTTTAGTAGTTATTTTCAGGCTTTTTCACTTTGAAAGTACCACCCTCAAATATGATTTTGCTAATTGCAATTTAAAATCAGTATGAAAGCAAACCCTACAGGACATTAATATGCATAGATGTTCATCACTTGTTAATTTGATTATACATTTATTAATAGTCAATTAAAAATCTCTGAAACTGCTGAAATATTTTCACATTCGAACTGATTTTAAAGAATTTTTCATGGTCAAAATTATTTTTAACTGATTTTGAAATACTGTATACAGGGTCATCCAAATTATTGTATAATAAAACGGAGAGGTGGCTGTTTTTATCTTTTTGTAAAGCTATAGAAAATAAATTTGAATTAACTAGCCTCGCTGTGTTTGTATACAGCGGAAACCACTTAATGTCACTTTCATATAACTTTAAGGTTAATACCATGTTTTTCTTAAAACACAGATTTTCCCTTTTATTCCCTATACATATTCTATGTAATTTAACATCTACCCATATTTTCTGGATTATAAGTTGCAACTGATTTCCTCGTGGGTTGTGTGTTCAGCTGATAGACCAATGAAGCTTATATGTAGATGAGAAAAAAATGGAGCATGAAAAAAAAAATCAGTGCTGGTACTGTACTTTTTATCAGTACCTATCCACCATATGTTTGTGCCTAAAACAGATTGTGTAGAACCCTCAATTCCAATCATACACAGGATGGTTTGAAAATTGTAATAAAATAACATTCTCATGGATTTGAATAATCAGATCTTTTAATATGCAACTTACAAGAAGGAGTTACAGAAAGTTTGTTAATGTGCATGAATGAATTAATTATGCAACAAAATATTAGCTGATGATACTGTAGTGTCATATGGCAATTTGACCATGTGTAAACTGTAATTATGACATGATCATTCACAATAGTTTATGATAGGTTAGGATAAATGGAAACATATTGTAAGAAAAAACTTGGACTATTTATGAATAATTGCTGTGCTATGAGAAAAACAAAGCATATTATAAATTCTTGTTTTCAAACAATTTCTCTTCCCCTGACAAATGGATCATGTCATATTAAAAGGTTTCCACTTTCCTGTTTTCTTAATTGCAGCAAAAACTCTTTTCAAAATGAGCAGTAACAGAAAGCTTATTTCAATTGATAAGTTAAAATTTGTTTTATAAAACTGGCAATTTAAAATTTCATATACACATTGCATATCTCTGCTATAGTCCGCCTTTTATATTCACTAATTTGAAAAAGGGTCAAAAGGAATGAAAGTTGAAATTTTACAGTTTATCGGATAACTCACCACACAGTAAGGGAACCTTTGCTGAAGCCCATTACGAAGCCACGGAGAATCTGATCCTTGCTAAGAGCATCAACACTTTCTACTTCAGGGTCCTTAACTTTCTTTGAATGCTTGCTTTTCCTATGTAACAATATGTAATATGTCTATTCATTGTGATTATTCAAGAGGTGAGATGATCACAAGAAAACCAATTTTTTTACGAACATACAATATTTACATTTTTTCATTGAATCATTCATCAGTTTGTTGTAAACAGCAACTAAAATTCTACCTTTACATATCTTTCTCTTAAAGATTTGAACCTAAAATTTTATCAAATCTCCACTTAGGAGGAGATAAACACTGCCTACACTGACCCCTATATATATTACCAGGTCATGTCTAAACTCTCAACATTCATGGCCTCTTCATACTTCTGAATGTCAGCAAACATAAAGAAATTGATAACAAATAGAAAGTAGTAAATGAAAATCCACTATAAAAAGTAATTATGTGGACAGCATCTTTGGATGGAGTTTGACAAAAAAATTAGCAGTAAGTTATCTAACAGATTCATATATCGCCTACTTTAGTCGTGACTGGCGGAGTGACACTCGACACTGTTTTTTATCTTTATCTATAGACAGAATACAGCAGTGCACAATCTGGCCATGTTTGTAGCTGCGGAGTGGGTTGTCTGTGTACGTGTCAAGCAGGTCTGTACAGGAGGCCAAGCCCTTGTAACCTAGTGACAGAGCAAGTTGAAGCTCCAGACCATATGTTGTAGTAAGCACACATGCTCGCATTTTTTCTCCTACTTCTATCTTCCCTTGGTCTGTAAAATCAAATTGAATAATAATCATTAAATTTAAAACAAAATTTTATGAGAAGCATATCTGAAACATATCTTTTCAAATTTTTTTTTAAAATTCTCTCTAACACACTATCAAACAATATTAAACAGACCACTGAAACAGTGTCTGAGATTTGCAAATCCTCAAAAGCTCATCATTGTAAGTTCAACATAAGTTTAACAAGGGTAATGTTACCTGCTTTTACAAGCATTATACAACATGCATTTATATAATTTTTTCTCTATTTTAGAAAATGATCTGCATATCACTTGAAAAAAACAAAGTAACATTTTCGGATTGATTAAACCTGTGAAGTAACATTACCTGTAAAGGTGAGGTCAAGTCTTTTACTATTGTCCACACCTATCACAGTGGCATTGTAGCCCTGACCACGCAAAAAATGTGTCTCTGGATTCTCCAGTACCTGTGGTAATACCAACATAGTTACACAAAAAACAGGAAGAAGGATGAAAGCCGAGACAGATTAAAATTCCTCCAATCACGTAAATATTTAATAGAGGTCATAACTTATTTCAATGTCTCCAGGAGGAATAAAACCAGGTGGCTCTTGTTAGTCTTATACTTCACTATAGTCTAGATAAAGAGAAACTCTAGTCAAACAACATACTGCTGCCTGTGATTCCCAGGGTTACAAACAGAGCAACAGAATACACAAGCTTCTCTTTATATATAGTCTAGATAAAACATCTGTACCATTATACTGTCAAAATCATGTTATCCAAAACAATGACAAACATAATGCTATCACCAGCTGGACTTGTTTCTGAGACTGTTTGTTTTCTATCACTATACAATATTTCTTCAAAATTAAGTTTGTAAGGTTCCATGAAATTGTAGAGGTAGTATGATTTGTCACACTCAAGTATCAAATATTATCCAATTTCATCCGACAAGTGTACTGAAACAGAAATACTATCCACAGCACAATCTTATTAACTTTAAAACAGTAACAGAAAACATGTCATTTTCTTTATCATATACAGCGGTATAGTTATGTTGATGATATAAATGATACTTGTACAGCATCTTTTACTGTTTAACAGTACAGGTAAGAATAGCATCATCACTTACTGCTAGATCATCAGATAAGTTAACCAGGCTGACTTGGCCAAGGACCATGGAGCTCACACTGACATTCAGGACGCCCTTAGCAAACTGAAAAATTTGTACAAGTTACAAACATTTTGACAACTAGATTATTGTTGTTAAAATGAAACAATGAGATACAGGGAAAGTTTACAGTAATATTTATCAATGATCAAATAATTTCCTAAGAGTTTTAAATTTGTAACTGGAAAAACAAAAAGTAATCTTTAAAATTTTTTTTTGTAAATACTGTCAACATATTCAATAGACAAGAGGCTCAAGGATCTTAATGGTCACCTGAGTCACAATGCTTCTTGCAACATGTCATAGAAATGATTTTGTTAAAAAAGTAATATTAACTATATTATATTTTATGAAGAGTATTTGGTTCTACTGTACATGGAATTTTTCTTTTAATATTTCAAATTTTTGTCAATTTGACCCATTTTAAGCCCCATCTGACAGCTCCTTGGTGACAGCTGAAGTTGATATGTGCATCTCATAAAACTGTCATCTTAAACTTATAATTCTAACCAGGTTTGAACTATTTCCAATTAAAAAATAAACAAATTATGTTAAAAAATGTAATTTCCCTACATAAACTACAGTAAACTTTAACTCTTCCCATGGAGGAAATGTGTGACCCTAGGGTCATGAAATTTACAATTTTGGCAAAGCATCTGAAGGCCTTTCCATCCATGAAGAATACTTGATTTTATTATACATGTGATTTGAAAAGACGATTCTTAAAATTTCAATAAATTTCACCCTTTTTGGCCCCACCCATCAAGCCCCTGGAGGTTGGGGACCATATAATTTACAGTTTTGGTGCGCCATTGGCAATGGCAGGTTTTTGTGTAAAATTTAATTGAAATTGGTTCAGGCGTTTTCCAGAAGAAGTCGAAATTGTTAAAAGTTTATGGCACACGATGCCGGAAAAAGGGAATCATAATAAGAAAATAATATTAAGTGACCTAAGAAAGTCGAATGTCATGGGTCTAAACCAGTCACTCTGCAGATGTCAGAATTTCAATACACAGGAGGTCCATTTTCTTTAAGGGTCATCTGACTATAAAGGCCTATATATGAAAGAGACCAAATAGGCCTAAAATAAATTGCTCAACTAGTCTACAGCTTACAGAGAAGACAATGAATGACATTTTCTGCAAACATGAAATGATGCATTCACTACACAAATGCCAAGACATATTGCTTGTTGAAAAAACATGCTACAGGCCCAATATCAAGACCCTTGTTTTTTTGGTTATCAAGATAAAGTTGCTTATGCATTTCAACTCATTTGACCCCTGTGACCTTGAAAGCAGATCAAGGTCATTCTTATTTATAAAATTGGTAGCCCTTCATCCCAACATGCTACAGGCCCAATTTCAGCACCCTGGGCCTTCTGGTTATTGAGAAGAAGTCATTTGAATGGAAGAATTATGCACAACACACAATGACAGAGGAACCACCATTGCTACAGGTCATCCATACCCTATGGGTCACATGACCTAACAAGTTTGTTATAATAACCAACCTGATAGGATAGGTCTAGATCACACTGTCTTAGTCTGGATGTTAAAATCAAACAGCAGGCAAATTCATGTTTTGAATGTTGAAATAATCCTTTAACTGAATCCTGAATTCTTCACAATCTTTGAAAAATGAGCAGGTAAGTTTTATAATAATTCTAAGTGACTAGTGATAAATTATGATCAGTCTCCTTTTAAAACTTGAAATCTAATTTAACATTTAGTGGAAAAAAAAACTGATGGGCAATCCATATCATTTAAATATTAGAACCAAGACAGAATTTAATACATAACATCTAACATTATATGACTTACATTCTGTACAAAAGCTTGGACATGATCTCCTACGTTGTGTGTACATTCCTCCTCATCCTCAGGATCCGTACCCTCCCTCTTAAGTTTACTGTGAATAGTCAAATTTGATTAAATACATAAGAATCTGCCAGTCCTGGAAGATTTGTATTATATCTTCAGATTAAAACAATTTGTTATTTACTTTTTACATTTGAAATCACATCTTACAGAAAACAAGAAGAGCTAGTCAGACATCTGTTTGCAGGTTTTATTTCCCCATGAACAAGGGACATTTTGAGGCAGACTCTCCTTGTAGTAGCTGGTAGCTACCTCAACCATATCAGCACAGACTAGCTGATTTTTTCAGCTTCCTGAGAAACGCACACCATGCACCGAAGATCTTCACCAGAGGTTACATGAGAAATAATCTTTTCTCCCATCACCAATACCATAATCAATATATAAAATGCTCTCTATTTTTGTAAAACATTTTCTATCATCTATCTCTCATCAGAATTTGGTTTACTCATAGGAGAAAATTTAATTGTCAATTTCAAAATTAAGAAAGTATGTTGAGAACGTTTAGCTAATCTAGCAGTGGAATCACTACTAATAGTGCCTACCTTGGTTTGAGGGAACACTCCAGTAAGGCATATTTACGGTTAGGATGACTGATAGGCAAGTGACTGTTAAACAACAAATAAAAATATATCAGTTAGCTGTTAAACAACAAATAAAAATATGTCAGGTAACTGTTAAACAACAAATAAAAATATGTCAGGTAACTGTTAAACAACAAAGAAAAAATATATCAGTTAGCTGTCAAACAACAAAGAAAAAATATATCAGTTAGCTGTTAAACAACAAAGAAAAAATATATCAGGTAGCTGTTAAACAACAAAGAAAAAATATATCAGTTAGCTGTTAAACAACAAAGAAAAAATATATCAGGTAGCTGTTAAACAACAAAGAAAAAATATATCAGGTAGCTGTTAAAAACTACCGTAAATTTTCGCGTATAGTGCACACTTTTTCAAGCTAAAACTGTCCTGTAAAAATATAGGTCAGGTAGCTGTTACAAATGGTTTCGTAAAAAAACATTTTTTAAAATTTACTCTTGAACCAAAGTAAATTGCTATATAGAGCGAAGAGGAAATAGAAATTTAAACTCTCTACAACATGTAACCTTGGCCTTGATGAAAGAGTAAAAAAGGAATAAATCAGGTTGTAAAACTTCTGTACAATGTGTTCAGCAGACCTTCAGCATACCACAATGCCACAATTTTGGCAAGCTTCACAATTTACCTGTAGGTTTTTCCCTCCCTGAATCCGATGACTTTGACTTTAATATCTTCTCCCTCCTGCAAGTCATCCAAGGGCATCTCCCCCTGTCAGAACAAGATATAATGTAATAAAGGTACTATACCTTCTACAGCCACATAGAAACTGTCAAGTTAGATCATAACTGTTTCACAAACTTTAAAATCAGGGAATTCATCTTAAATTTGTGTTTATTATTAATCCACCTATTTCTATTTCCCCGTGATGATAAGATAAAAGTTGACATAGATACACCGAATGGATTGTGTGAGCAACATTTATCCTCAAAATCAAGTGCCAGCCAAACTGGACATCTTTGAGTGACCACAAAATTGACCCAACGAAAAAAAAAAAATTTCAGTTAAATGGTTACATAACGATAAAAAGGGTGTAGCCATGTTGTCATACTTTACATATACCTACATTTTCTATGGTGTCTGAGACCTCACAGATGTGAACTCGTCCGCTTGCTTCTCCCACAACTATATTTATCTGTAGAGGGTAAATATTTCTTACTCTGGAAAAGAACACAGAAATTGGATACAGTAAAAATACAAACGTTTCCCCTTTATAGTCACTACTTAGTATGCTCACGAAACAGAAGATCAAAATATTTTGATCTCAAATATTAATACTTCAAACAAAAGACATCCAAATATTCTGCTAAATACCATATTGAAAATGTTTAATTGGAACTCTGACTGCATCCAAAATTTTGGTAATTTTCATAGCTGTAAATATTTTAAGTGCTATCAAATAATCACTATCACTTTTAATCTGTGGTCTATCAATGTCATGGTCTATCAATGTCATTTTGCTCTAAAAATATTAACTACATTTTGTCATTATTGATTTCTATGATCTGAATTGAACTCAGAATTCATCACCTTTATTCAGTTGTTAAGCAAATATTGAAAAAATAAAACGAATGCTTAAAATGGCTTTGATTTTATTTAAGTTACAAAGAATTCTAATCACTGATACCTTGCTGTGACAATGTCACCAACTTCATGGTCGTGTGGAGTTTTAATGTTCTTCAATACTTCTCCCCCTGTACCCAGCATTTCCATCTTCCTTGTCTCATGCAGTTCAAGAGCACAGAGGACGTGAGTCTTGTCAATACTACAGAGTATAATAATCAAATTTGTGAGCTCAACTCTTAATAATGTAACACTTTTGCTCTCTGAAAAGCAGATATGCAAGTAGTTTAATTCAAGATCACAGCATATCACAGAGGGTTTTGTCTCTTACTTACCCAATACCTCAAAAGCAGTAATCTTAAAATACTTTTTTGACAAAACTAGAAAGAATTTCTCCTCAGAAGCATGAAAATAGAATTACCTATTACAGTAGAATAAACAACATTCTACATAATCCAAAGAAAATTAATGAAGAGACAGACAGAAAGATAAATCACCTGATCTAGTAATGGAAAGCCCTATGATATCAAAGTCAGCTTTTATAATTAGGAAACATAATCATGGTTTACAAAATTGTAATTACTGATAATATGAGATCAAGACTGTATAACAATTTCCCAGAAAATTACATCTATTTTCTTCCAACTTTTCCAAAGTCTGCAAAAACTTGAACCATGGAAAATACAAACATTTACAGAAGGTGATATACTGTACAACATAGAATAACAAGAGGCTCAATGGGCCTGCCGTGATTACTTCATATTCAATGCATTTCACATCTCTGTTATTCTAAGTTTTGGTTAATGAAAAGAAGTTGTTAAAGGATTTAACCTTTTGGTCCATCAGAGAAAGTCCTTTAAAGTTTTAAATAAATTTGACATCGGTAACCTTACTCTGCAAACTTTGTTTGGCTTCATACTAGGAACTTTTAGTCAAATATAATGATTCTTGGCTTCCTTTTTTTTATTGAGAAGTTGTTTGAACATACAAGTTGATATCAGAGTGACGGATAGAGGGATGACTGACAATACACCAAGGCATAAAATTACTGTAACATGACATTGTATAAAAGTACATGTATGTAGTCAACACTTACTGTTTAACTATGACAGGGTGGATCTGTCCAGGGTAAAATTGATACATCTCCAGTACATCATTCAGGTGCTACAATACATTCAGAAAGACTCTTAACAAGGAAGTTGGAGTAAGTATGAAATATATCAAAAACAAATATGTCATCCAGACTATCAACAAATATCATAGCCATAGCTGTAGATAGGACATTAAACAACATGAAACCAAACTACAATTTGCAAACATACATCTTTCAACAACTTAGGATGGCAGATAGATGACTAACATATATCAACTTACTTTTTTGTTGAACCATATAATCTAAACCTAAAATTATTTTGAGGACCTACTGTAATAGTTATTGTCCAGACTTACTCTTTTCACAGGAATGTAAGCCAGGGTTCCTGCCCCCAGTCCCTTAAGTGTGCCTAAAGCAAAATCCTTCTTCACCAACACAATTCTACAGTTGAGTTTCTGGTCAACCTTGAGCTGTGAGACAAAATACAGGAAGAATTAAAACAAAGCTAGAATAGCTATCATAGAAGAGACAAGAGATATAAGCTTGATGATCTGAAATGGATCTCATGCCATATATACTGTGATAAGTGAAGGGCAACATTGTACTATAGGAATCATAATGAATATTAGTCAAGTAGTATGTGTCCCCTATTAGTCCCTGCCAGCTATTACACTGTAATGATATATAAAATTGGTACTGCTTGGTGTTAATTTGAAAAACAAGACAAGAGTATCAGAAATACTGATGAATACTCTCCGAAATAAGATTTTAACAAAGGGAAATAACTCTGTAATTGAGGGGTTGCAGGTCCTGAATTTTGTACACTGCATATCATCTTATTGAGACAAATTTATACACCAAGCTTCATGATCCCTGTTAGACTGTGGATAAAGTTCTGAACATGAAAGAACAGACAGGAAGATGGACAGATGGATAGACAGACAAAGCGGCAACTATATGCTACCAGTGAACTTTTTCAGGGAAAATAAAAAGTAAACAATTAGTATGCCACTAACTGATTTTAATATAACAATGCAATACCTAAGTATGACAATCTAACAGTACACTTTCATCAACATTTTCTAGTAATATGCTATGGTTATTTGTTGTGTGTGAAGTTTAATCAAAATCCCTTAAAGAAAGAAGCTGTTAGAACTTGTCCTTGACCAAACAGCCCTGAAACTCAAGATGTTTCAGGAATATCAGTTTTTTAAAATTGTGTGAAGTTTGTTGAGATTGCTCAAGGAATGGGAACTGTTACATCATAAACAATGATTATCTAAACAACAGTAAAAGTGACCTTGACATGATAACCTTGACACATTTATTCATGATATTATGATGTTTTATAAGTATGTTAATCCCTCAAGGAATGCAGTTAGTAGAGCAATGACAAACTAAGGTGTTACATTGGACATATAGACAGGGAGGAAAACTATAATCTCCCTCTCCCCCTGGTAGGGGTAGGTGACTAATAATTATTATCATTTAGTTGTTAAGTCCACCCAATTCCATTGCAGATGCCTATACCTTGGCAGCTGGGGGACCTGTCCTGTTGATGAATCCCTTCACCACAGCCTTCAAGGTACAAAGCTCTAAACATTCTTCCTCTGTGTCTAGGTAGGTGATCAGCCCTTTCACCTTGTCTCCTATGTCCATATCTAAATCTGTAACAAAGTCCATCTCAATTAGAAAACACTTAAAAATTATCAGTGTGTGAAACAATGTTCTCTCAGACAGAATACAGACACAAAGTACCCACATTTTCCCTAGTAATTCTATCAACTTAATAACAAACATTACTGTTTTTGTTGTCTGTACAAATGATGATTTTGGTAATGTTACACCGAAAGCAGATCAGTCTTTGTGTTACTGGGAATATTTATCCTTCAAGATACCAGGTATTTTACAATACTGATAAACAGCACTTTAGACAGGTACAACTATAATATTTTACCACACATGTTAGAGCATGATCTGAAAACTATGCTAATTGGAAGTCTGGAATAGAAGACCCATTACATAAACTTTAATGAACGTCACTTACAATAATATAACATTTTACAGCTCTGTGTAATAATAAATTCTATCCTCAAAACCTTAATCTGATAATTTCTGTCACTTCTGTGGCTTTGACCCTAAATATTTCCTCCAACAATAAACTTACTATCTACGTTATGGTTTGTAATGATAGCTTTACAGCCACTGTCCAGCTCACACAGTCCACCAATCTCTGTGATCTTCATCACCTTGCCATCACAGACATCACCTACATGGTGCTTCCACAGGACCTTTGCTCCTGTCAAATAAGTTTGATGAATATTCAAGAATCATCTTTTCGAAAACACAAACAAAATTATTTCTCCCATTTCATATCTAGATCGCAATAACCCAAAGTAATTCGTTTTGTGAGTTATTTTTTTTATAAAAATAGCACTCCAAGCGTTTTGTAGTCAAGCTTCCCCATTAAGGAATTAAATCATTCACAGCAATGACTGTAGCCCTGTTTCTATAGCTGGAAATTTTAAACAAATATTATCTGCAGACAATTTTACATTATTATATGTGATGTGCCATAATGTTAAGAAAACATATATTCATACCATTAGCCTCTTTTGACATCTTTTGGACCATATCCATCTCCTTTAGTGTGTCTTTCAGCAGGTTAATTCCAATATCAGTATCACCATGGTAACAATCAGCCATTCGGAGGGAGGCTAGCATGCGTGACTTCTCTCTGTCCACCTGTAGGATCTTGGCACACACAGCTTGCCCCACAGAAAACAGGGCTGATACATTGCGAACTAAAGTGTCTGTAACATACTGAAATCAACATAATTGTAGTGACATTTAAAAGAATATTCAAATCAAATAATGAAATCACCCCATTTTAGATGTTTAATGATATTGTTTTTAAAAAATTATGTTTTCTACCTAAAGAGGATGAAATTAGTATATATCTCTAATTCCGCCTTGAATTCAGTTTTAACTAGTGTGTATATACCACATATGGTTTCCTCAATACTTTTATAATTTTTTTCTGAGAAACTGATCTAAATTTGACCCATTAAAGTCAATATGAAAGCCAATGTCAACACCTTCTTCATTCTGTTGCAAAAAAAAACCCAACAGAAAATGCAAGTATGTAAAGGTACACTTACTTTATTAGGTACTAATGCACTCATTCCTCCAGGAAATTCAACAAATACACCATAGTCCATCAGTCTTTTTATACTGCCTGCTAGTATCATACCAGGCTACAACACAAAATGTTGCATCCAATCATTTATCATCAAAGAGTCTAGATTGTGAAAATATAACATTAACAATTTAGATTTAGATAATACAATATGAATGTAATGACCTTCTTGCTACCAGTACAAAGTTTGTCAAACTTAACGTTACAATTCAATTTACTTAGAGTTCAAGAATAAGAATGAGTGTGAAATTGGGACAGGTGAGTTAAAATCCCAACTGGTTGAATATTTCCCAGTATATAGTGACATACTTGGATTCAATAAAACATTAAACTACATACCTGTAACTTGTCAAACTCAAACACAATCTGATCAGTATTGTCACACATAGACTTACGATGTGTCACTGTCTGTTCATTAGTTGAGGAATATATTAGATATCATAATAAGGAATTAGAAGATAGTGTTGTTTGACTAGCAATCTTTACTTTGTCCATACGTAGTGTTTAAACTTTCAGGTTTTGGTCTGGTTTTGTGGATTCAATATTTTCTTCTTTCTATTCTTCATGATGATAATACTGGTAGCATCAGCTATAGGGTAACATGTTTATACTTCATATAAAAAGATATGTCATCATTTCTTCTTTAGCCAAACATCACAAGACTGAAGAGTAATATGTGCTTAATTTAATCCAAAATGCCAGCCCTTACTCTAGCCCCAAATTGATGATTTTCATGGCTCATATTTTTTTCCCAATTAGTAGTTACTGTAGCCACAAATTTACAATATTTGTGAGACATACCATTACAGTGGTAACTAATTGGAATGAAAAACCTTACAGACTCAATAAAGTACATGTCAACAAGGATACAAGAACACTAGCTTTGCTGAGGTACATGAGTCCTTCAAGGGCGACGCCCTCTCTGTAATAAGTCATCAGTAGGTCACAGCATTCAAGACTGTCTGAAAGGTGATGACGAGGCAGGAAAGCTTCCACACCAGTGGGTTCTAACGTGACATTCACTCCAGTCTTTAACACTGACTTTACTTTTCCATCCACCAACTGTAAAAGTTATATACAGTTTTATTGACATTTTGATAATTTTTTTTGAAATGCTAGCCTCGCTGAATAAACTAAGTTTTATTTTTACTGATAGATATTGATGTCAAGGTTTGGTGTACAAACTTATGACATAATTAATCTAAAATTACAGATGTATGAGCATGAATATCAACTCTGTTAGAGTTAAATCATTCTTTTGTTAATGTAAGAAAATTAATTAACCAAACAGAATCACAATATGATCAAAAGGACCAGATAGTTAACACAATCTTGGCTCTTCTGTACATGCATAGTGCTTATTGTTGAAAATGAATAAGTGAATGGGGAGCATTGTGTAAAGTAATTTTCAAAAGGGAAGTATTATTATGTCAGTTAAGAAAACAGAAACAGCAAGGCATCAATAGCCATGTACTACAATAGTAACTGGATCAAACTTGATGATATTATTTTTAAATTGAAACAGTAAAATCATAAGAAACACTTTTACCATTGAAAGCATTCAAAGTTATTAATGAACAAACTTTTATCATCAAAACTGTTACTTATTTCTGAATATAGTATGTTTTCCTAGTGAAAATCAATCCTTATATCTGAAGTTCATCGATTTTTAAACCTGTCATTTAGGCCATTTAACAGCTATTATCAAACATTTCCCGTTGACCTCTATAGGTGTAACTCACCATTCCTATTTCAAAGTCATCCGGAACCTCCACAACTCTGTTTTTACCAAATGGTGTCAACTTAATTTGTGCACCCTGCAAGGGAAAAGCAAAAGGTCTAGATATTTTTTACTCAAACAGAAATGAAATTTAGATTTATCAAAACTCATGCATTTCTCAGATCTAAACATTTCTTATTGAATTAAACGAACGTCACAACAGCAAACAAAGATGGTCGAGTGGCACAGTGGTAAACTGCTTGCCTTTCACCTACAGGTACTCCACTTCCCTCCCTAAGTAAGACCCCTCGCATGCTTACATCAAAGCCAATAGAAGCGATTAATAAACTCTATTATATGTACCTTGTTTCACATTGTTGTAAAAATAAATAAAGTTTATAATTAAGAGCAAACAATCAATAATATGATTGTTCAAATATTGTTGTTCAACCTTTTCACGGACCATTGATGTGCTTGTCTCAAAGACCAGCCCACATCCTCAAATTGTCTCCCTTTACTTAGTATATAAGCCTGCCTTGTTCTCACCTCAAAGGAGAGAGTTACAATATTGCTCTCCTGGTCTCGATTCGACACTGTCACTGAACAGCCAAAAATAGTCTGGTTGTCTCCCTTGATTCAGACTTAAGTCTGCTGTGTTTAAGACTATTGCCCTCCTCGTCCCCATTCAACACTCACACTGAACAGCCACAACTAGTCTGGGTGTCTCCTTTGATTAAGACTTATGCCTGTTGTGTTTTAGACTATTGCCCTCCTCGTCCCCATTCAACACTGACACTGACTATCCACAACTAGTCTGGTTGTCTCCCTTGATTAAGACTTATGCCTGCTGTGTTTTAGATATTGCCCTCCTTGTCCCACGTTCAACACTGACACTGACTATCCACAACTAGTCTGATTGTCTCCTTTGATTTAGCATATAAGTCTGGTGTGTTCTAGACCATTTCCCTAAATATCCCAATTCAACACTAACCAGCCAACTATTCAAGTTGTCACCCTTGATTTAGCCTGTAAGTCTGATGTGTTTCTGACTTTTGCATTCCTTGTCCCAGTAAAACACTGACACTGACTGCAAGTCTTTTGTCTACTGACCTGGAGGGAAGTCTACTTATCTCCTTGTCAACATTCAACACTTGACAACAACTAGCCACAACTAGTCAGATTAACTCCCCTTTATTCAGTCTATAAGTCTGCTGTATACTCACCTTGAAGGAAATAGTTAGTCTACTGCTCTCCTCATCCCAATTCAACACTCGGCACTTAACCACTTGGCCCATGTAGAAGACTTTCTCTGGAAAAGGTATGTCCTCTTCACTAAGTTCTCTACGAGGCACCCATCCCTGTAAACAAAAGAATTATGTATTACTAAGCTGATTCCATAATGACTTCAATTATAAAAACATAACAATTTGATTCTGAAAATAATTTTATTAGTTCATGAAATAAACAAAAACTACAAAAATAAAAATATAAAAAATGCATCTGGAAAACCTATACTACATTAAACAAAGTGATATCTGAATTCCATTGACTTATTGTGATAAAATATTTGAAGGAACATAAAAACCACATGTTGCCTATAACTATCAGCAGCAAAGATATCTGTTTAAACAATGTTTCAATCTGAAACACTCTGCCTGTGGTAAGTACCAAATAAATTAGATGTTCACATCACACAAGCAACAGTTACACAACAGTATGGTCACAAGTTAAAGTATGAAGGAAAGAGACACAGAAAAGACTTTTAAATCTACTGATCACATTACACAATCCACTGATACAATACAGTAGGGTATATATGGAGTTCCTACCTTGATATTATTGTAGAAGGCAACCAGCACACCTTTGTCTGTGATTCTGCAAATAAACCCATCCAACAGTAGATCTGGTTCCAACTGGCTCCAACTTGTAAGGATGGGTAGTTTAGAATTAACTAAAGACTTCTTTCTGGTCAGCAACACCTGTTTCTTCTTGACATTCACCATTAAAACCTACAAACAAGTTAACAAAATCAGCAATGGTATTTAAATATCCCTTCAATTAATATCTATTTCTTTGGGGAATTTGGATATCAATAATTTTCAAAAAAGTTGGATCCTGACATAGGTTTCTGCATCCATGAGACTGATTTAAGATATTTAAGATAGATAGAAACTTTAATGACGTATAGATGGTTAAAGTATATTTCAAACAACCTAAAAGATACCTTACCTGGGGTAAATATTAATTGGAGCTCTCTGAAGTATATATTACCTGCAGTACATACTAGCTGAAGTACATATTAAGTGAAGTACACCTACTTTATCACTGAAAATCAGTCTATCATCTGATACATATTTAGACTATGACCTATGATGTTATATATTTAGACTAAGACCTATGATGTTATATATCTAGACTATGACCTATGATGTTATATATTTAGACTATGACCTATGATGTTATATATTTAGACTAAGACCTATGATGTTATATATCTAGACTAAGACCTATGATGTTATATATTTAGACGAAGACCTATGATGTTATATATTTAGACTAAGACCTATGATGTTATATATTTAGACAAAGACCTATGATGTTATATATTTAGACTATGACCTATGATGTTATATATTTAGACTATGACCTATGATGTTATATATTTATACTATGACCTATGATGTTATATATTTAGACTAAGACCTATGATGTTATATATTTAGACTATGACCTATGATGTTATATATTTAGACTATGACCTATGATGTTATATATTTAGACTAAGACCTTTGATAAAACAGATATAAAACTTCTGTAAGGTATGATAGTACTCACCCTACACTTAATGGTAGTTTCTGGAACAAACTTTTTACCCGGGTATTTCAACGGGAAGTCAGCTAGATGGAGATTTGGGATGAAACCAGACAGGCTTTTGGTGATTTTGACCGACACACCTTTTTCATGGATTTGATGAACTGTACACTGGAAAAGAAATAATTTATCATAGGACTGTTTCACATGACTGTCGTGTGATATACTGAGTAAACCCATTCCTAATTAAAAGTATAAATACCTGTATTATATCTATATAGATATCAACATGTACATATTTTGGTTTTTTTAGGCTGCCAGGGTTGAAGGGTTCAGCCCTGGAAGAATAAGTTGTCTCCTCATACGAGGGGTTGAATATGTCACTCACTTCCATTCCATTAATATAATTATGTTTATTTATCACATTTTACATTAAATATTTTGAAATCATATTCATATTGAATTATTTAGAAACATGTGTTTATGAGTACATTATCATTAATTGACTTGTGTATTCACTCATATAATTCTAAATAACCACACAGTCATTCAAAGACTAAAAAAATGACAATAGATATAAAACCCACATGACTTAAAAATGACAAGAAAAACATAACAGTATCAGTATTTGATCACCTTACAATTTACATTTCATGAAACAAGTCACAGAATTTTTCCTGTTAGCTCAGCCAGAATTACTTAGGAAGTAAAATTCTTCAGACAGCTGATTTTTGTATAACATTGTGCAGGATATCAACTGCTTCCCTATCTTTTCCCATGAACCTCTAAAGTTGATAAAAACAGCTATTATTCATTATGTACAGTTTACCCTTCTTCATCAGAACACTCAATTTTTTTTTAAACTATTGAATTCTCAACAACTTTTAAACACTGGCAAAAATGTCTTGCTTTGTTCATTTACCTACGTCTTCATTAATCATTTAACTTACGAGGTAGATTAATAACCAAGACTTTTAAAACATTTTTATACAAGCAGTCTAGAGAGCAATATAAACTCACCTCAAGAACTGTCCCCGGCAGTATGTCTTGAAACTGTAAAAAGTTTGTCAGGATAGACCTACCAAAGAAACATAACTTAAACATGAAAAGTGAGTTTTATAAAGATCAAATTTTTAATTTCCACTTGAGCCAGTAAAAGTTGTATATGATAATATGTACCAAGTTATTTTGCATGAGTTCTGGATCATTTATCAAAAAACATCTGTATATAATATGGTCATATAGAAACAGAATAAAAGACTTACTCCCTCAGACTGACTATAACCAGGTTGTCTACGGGGTTGAAATCCATTATACGACACCTAGAATGATAAATATCACAAATTACTTGTACGCTTTCTCTGGGCTTTGTATTAGGGGTATACAAATACTGTAAAATCATATATATATGTGGGGTTCAATTCTCGTGCTTTTTTCGTGGATAAATATATCTCAATAATCTATTTATAGCAATGTTGACATATTAATTTGTGGATAAATGTAACAAAATAAGGGTCATTATGTTATAACAATACATAATATTTTACTAATGATAAATATTTTAATTATAATGTTAGATAAGCATGAGACATAAATAGTGGTGTTGAGTCATTCAATGTATCGAACAGCCAGCTGAGAGGTGTTGATACACTTTGTACTGGTGTAAATTAGGTAAAGTAGCATCTATTTATCTATGGTCAGCAAGTCACGAACAGAGTGTTATAGTGAGACAAGACATGTAGACACTTGCTGATGGACATTTATGTTCAGTGAGTGACAGAGATGCGGCCTGAGAAATTTATGGTCGAACATTAAAAGTAAAGACATTTTGGGGGATGATTTTGCTGCGAAATTTAGGGGATACATCATCCTTTTCCTTGGATGCATAAAAGAAAGGCCGCTCAGCTAGGTTGATCAGTATTAGACTAACAGGCTAACTCAAAACCAATTAGCTCTTTGTCTGTGCTCCGCTCCATTATTTGGGCTGTGATAATGAGAGCATATTATTGTGCTGTAACCACTGAATAATTAAAGTTTATTAATTGAAACCTGGATGTTCTGTTCTATATATATGACTCACAGTGGTATATAAAAAATGTCCATGAAATCAACAAAATTCAAACTCCCAAAAAAATTAATGATATTATAGTAAGAAAACCAAACTTTGATAACTTGATAACATACTTATATTGCTAACTTTTCTTGCTTTTATTTATTCAGAATCTCATGATCACATTTTCTGTTGCAAGTTGCCTTATAGATACTACCACATGACAAGTTGTTTACAGTGTATGAAGGTTATTGAGTCAGTGTCAATTTGACAATTCCTCACTATCACTGTAAGAAGCAAATATTGAAACAATCTTAAACCATCAAATGATATCTTTATAACTGACACTAAATACACTACATACATAATTTGAGATAATAACAGAATGACATGACAAGCATTACAATTGAAAATATCAGTTAAACAAAGCATAATATAAGTTTTCCTTACGTGTGTGTGTCCTTAATTCTGAAGAGGTCTTTAACGTTTTCCACTAATTTGTCATGAAGATTTGGAATCTGAAAAAATTGCAATAGCGAACATGTTATCACCTAATCTACATGTGATATATCCAGAGAATCAATTCACCCATGTAATATTTTTGTGAATATATCACCAGTGTAATACATCCTGGAGCAAATTTTCATTTGCTGCATTCAACTTCCCCTAAAACTATTATTTTATTTTTTTGTTTATGTTTTAATGTTTTAATTAGACTTACATCACAGAAGGCTTTCTTCCCATTTTCGAGAGAAAAGTGAACTCCAACATGACTGTCAACTTTGCTCACAGTTGCATTCGTAAGGATGTCTCCACGCTGAAGTGATCCAAACTGATTCTCTATGGCAACCCCAGAGTAATTAACCAGGTGAGGAAGTGCAGAAAGGGAGACAATCTTTGTACTCAAGTTAACATACAATACAACAGCTCCAATCTGAAAAATATTTAGGAATTATTTGTTTTGCATTTCAAATAGATTAATCATAATGAATTGCAAAGTTGTCGTGACAACAAAAGTTAAGTATAGTCAAACAAGATGGTCATCAAAAATAGCAAATATTGCTGATCATACAAAAAGTAGTGGCATGATATTAGTTTATTAACATCTTTATTTCTCTTGGCCTTATAAAAATGTTCATGTTCCTGGTCATAAGTGATTTCCTAACCCACATACCTCAGAATGAGTCTTGTAAGTAGTGGCAGACTTTGGAAGATGAGAACAATGAATATGTCCACTGAACTGAAGAAATTTGACCAGGAGACTATCCTCATCAACCTACAATTCATCAAAGTATGCATTACATATATGTATTCCAGCTCTCAAAATGAAACACTTTCAGCAAAACCAAATTTGCTAAAAAACAATATAAATAAAACTTTATTCAGAATCTGCAAAATAAAAAAGCAGAAGAAACACAAAAAGAATTAATACAGAAAGTTCACAATTCTGTCACGCTTCAATAATTTACAGCCTTATCATGTCAGTTATGTGAATTATGTTGTTTAAACACAAATATACGCCCTTTAGAATTCTGGAGATTTATCCTTGTACGATCAGTTGTCAGATCAGGAAACAATGTAACATGTAGGCGAAAACTTAAAGGGTTTGCCACTAAAATGTTTGTTTAGCTGCAGTTTGAAGGAGTTTAGGCTTTCTGCAGATATCATTTCTCCCAGTAGACTGTTCTAAAAATCTACAACTCTGTTATTCAATATTATCTCAGTTAACAGTAAATTATAGTCCAACAGTTATATAAAGTGCTACAAGCTTTGTTCATACTGAAACACATAAGCTGTTCACTTGATTTAATATTTCACGTTTGTCCTGGTTTGTACACTGGTATTAATGCATGTCTATCAGTTAGTATCCTTTTGTTTAAATACTTCATGCTACCTTTATTAACAGTGAATATAGCAAAATTTAACCCCCAACAGTTATTGCCTACTATACATCTTAACTAAACCACTGTACATTACATTATGTTTTACCTTAGTTATGTTGGCTTTGACTTTCATTCCTGGGAAAATACATGTTAACGGCAGTCTCACAGAGCTCTCCAACTGTAACAATACCAATCATGCAAACTGATGTGAAAAATTTTAAATGCCACAAATACCACTGTAACTTGTAAGAAAACAGAATACAATTGTGTCATACAAAATATTATAACTTTAAGGTGTTTTATTATTTCAATATCAATAAATGATTCACCTGTGAACAAACTTTTGATTCAAACTCAGATCAGTGTACAACTTCAATGTTTCAAAGGTATATATTGAAAGACACTGTGATAATTCAATGCTAAATAATTTCTTAATCCCTACAAACTAAAAGCTCTACTATAAGACGGACTTGTTTTAACTGATGGTCATTCATATGCTAATTTTCAGCTAAACCTCAGCTGACTTACCTGTGCTTTAGCAACCTTTTCCGGGTCTATTGAGACATTGATCACTCGTAAACTCTCTCTGACCACTCCTGATCCATCTGTGGTCACTAAGCAGCAAACCGCTTCACCAACGTGAAGAGCTTCCCCTGTCATATTCATATTCATTATTGTAGTATTTTTCCCCATTATATATCCCATAATTAGCCATAAGATATATTTTCCTTAAAGTCAAGGAATTGTTTTATTGCACCTAATACAGTTTACAGACTATGCTTTTAATACAGCAATGAATATGGGTGGTCTTTACACAAGACATGGACTTCAGGGGTAGAAACAGAAAATAGAAAACAAGTGTTTTTTCTTATGCATCAGATCAAATTTCGGTTTAATCAAAATGAAATTTTGTTTTATCAACTTTAAATATTTAATTAAAATACTATAGATAAAACCATTCCTTATTGATTCTCAAAAAAATTGGGATGGACACAAAGTTTTAGGGCTAGTTGGATTTAATAGCAGAAATACACATTAAATTTCTAAGCCTCATTCACTTGTGATGTGATTTTAATTACAAGTAAATAATCCTCAGATTTAGATATACAACACAGGATTTGCACTGAGTATTTTACAAACAGGGTTGTTTTTTGCAGAATGAATGGGATATTCCTGTATAGTTATAAACAGAATTTTAAATAAATAACTGGGGTCCTTTTTAATTTCTATGCTTTGCAGAATAGTTGTTGATATGTAAACCAACTTGATAAGTCTAATAAATGTTCTACCATTGTTGTAATTTTCAGCATCTGCATGGTTCAGAAAGGCCCGTGTTCCACTTATACCAATGTCAACCACATAACCATGATCTTCCAAACTCTGGATACAGCCATGTAGTACCTGTAGGAAAATAACACATTTCTCTTAGAAAGTCACTTTTCCTGGGAAAAATAAAACAATTTTTCCACAAAATCTTTCCAGAACTTGATAATAATTGTAGAGGTATGAGATTTCTGTGATACAATATTTTCAGTGTTACAAAAATCAGTGAGTATTACTCTACAAAGCAAATGTATTTTTAGTGAGAATGCATACAGAAGGCCTATTTCACTGAACCTTCAAATATCATTCTTTCAGTAAGGGAATTCGCCCTAAAAATGATATTATCTACATAGAGTAACTCTGTAAACAGTTATCTAAAAGCACTTACCAAATCCTTTATGATGTGACTGGCTACCATTCCCTCATTTACCTCTCTTGGATTGATGGTTAATTTGAAGTCATGCTTTTTCTTAGCAAGTGACTGCTCAACTACCTTGCAGGGCAGTAACTGGCCAACATGGAACATTTCATGGAGGCTTGGTACCTCCTGGACCACAGTAAAAAGACAAACATCATAGTGTAAGAAACCACTTATCTATACACATGTTTACCTAATCAGGGCTCCAACTGACCCTGACATAGTTTTGATTTTATAAAACTGATTTTAAAAAGACATGTTTCTTATATGCTATTGCTTTTGACTCTCGAATTGGAGAAATAGGTGCTTTGATTTTTTAAATCAGTACTGGTCAAATAGAACCCGTTCCTAACAACTATTCTAATATACTTGTATAATACATGGTAACTTTACCTAAATAATAATTCTGTATCATTAAAGAGTACAGTGCTCATTAATATATCATCTTAAGAGTAAATGTTATGATAGTTTACATGATTTCATTGCAAAACTCTGATATGGGTGGTCAGGAGGCATAATAGTAATGCAATAGCCTGTCACCTTGACGACCTGGGTTTGATTCCCATAACAGATGTGAAAAGGTATGTTATCATCTGAATGACCACATAGATTTCCCTTCCACAGGTACTCTGGATTCCACCGATAGTAAAGAAAGTCCCTATGTTTGACTAATCTAAATTGGAAAATTATTTCCCTGTTGTTTTAAAATATAAAAAGTTTAATTCTGAACATTCACAGATAATTATAATCTAGGTTCAAATCAAATAATGGAATAGTACTACAATTTTGTTGATCTCATGGTATTGCAAACACTACAATGCAACAAGTTTAGTTTGAGTAATTTACCAGAGTATTGGCAGATCCGTTGGAGGCATTCTCTGTAAGTTTTTGAAGAAGCTCTGTGTAAGTATCGGAGATGTGAGTGATTAGAACCGAGCCTGACAAGCCATTAGGAAGTCCCACACACAATGAATAGTCTTCCACACGTGTAACACATCCCATCAGGAGCATCCCACTGCTCACCATCTATAAATGTTATATAACACACTTTTACATTTACTGCAATATTTTGAACATTGCCTTCACCAAATATTTGACTTATTTTGTCTTCAATGAGTCTCTTAACTTCATAACACTAATGAATCTATATATATATTTACTATCTTTTATTACCATAAGAATATTTATATTTTATATGATTTAATATTTCTTTTTATAACTACATATACTATCACATATTATGATGTAAGACATTTTTATTAAAACCAGATCTTAATCCTTTATATGATACTCATGACTCAAAGAGAATCATAGTGAATCAAGATCTGGTTATGCCTGGTAATCAGATATTTTTTCAGCATAATTTTAAAAGCTTCTTTTGTAATTCTGGCAAGATTAAAATGTAAAACCTTTTTATTTCAACAGTACTTACATTTTTCTTTAATGCACATGTTCTCCCTACAATTTTTTCAAAATTATTTGTTTGTCGGGTCACTTTCACTTTCTTTGCAAATTCTTTCTTTCGCTTTTTCTTTGGCGTTTCTGATTCTTCAGACTGAAACACAACAACAACATACTTCTAAAACATTACGCACTAGATTACATTGTTTTATTACCCAGATGAATGTGATTTACAGCCATACAAAATATAATATCCACTTACAAATGAAAATATCTACAAGAATTCTGAGTGGAGGCTTTCATTATTCTCTAGTATACAAACAGGTTCTAGCCACACATTTCTACTTTAGTGTACAGTACTGGACAAGTGGGCATTTGCATTTATAATAATTATAAAGGTTTATTAATTTTAATGTTAATTTTTTTTCAATTCAAATTATCTATTACTAATAAAAAGCATATTTACATCACAGAAGCGAAGGACAATTTTACCCTTCATGCAAGCAGATTAAAAGACACTTACATGGAAAAGGTCCTCATCTTCTTTCAGTACTAGCTCAGAAACTTTTTTTGTTCTTTTGGTGCCACCCCCTCTTGGAAAATTTTCTTCCATTTTGTTTGACTTACTTTATATCACTGAAATGAAAGCATTTGACTATACAGCATGTATATGTAACATAACAGGGAAGTATACATTCCGGCCATGAAAGGAAATTAAATGAACCATAGTCTCTTAAACAATCCATTACTCTGTCGATATATATGATGTATCTGAGCTTAAGAGGCGTCTTTCAACAAATAAGTGATGTTATTTATACAAGCCATACAGACATGTTTCTTTCATAATACCCCAACTATGAAACATATACCAATCTCAACTCTCGAGCTTTAATCTAAGCTCAAATACCAATGTATTTTATTGATAAAAATTGTAATTTGTAACAGGACTGGGGAAAACATATTTATATCAAATGTTCCAACAGGAATATAACCAATATCATGGTCACCAGAGTGACAATCTACAGATCTACCAACTGAGCTGAAGAAGTATGCACCTTCAGTCAATATCAGATCTAAATCATACGGGAAATGACTGGTAAAAGCATTGGTCGCTTATTTCCGATTTCATAAGTAACACTTGAAAGACTTTCTGATGACCAGACGATCCAGACCTTAACGTTAGCTAATAAAACTGTTAAAGTTTCGAAAGAGGGTGACCACGTGTTTTTGTTTACATCAATGAAGCAAATCATTCTGAACCAATACTCGATATCACCTCGGTATCAATCTTGACGAAGTAGACTTAATGGATCTTCCAAACAACAAACTACAAGTTCATTATCCTTCCATCTTGTAAAGACTATATTATGTCTGGTAAAATGACTGGTACTTACATCACACAGGAAAATATTCCACGCCATTTTAAAACATTTCGTAGACGATGATTTAGATCTGGATCACGAAGATACTTCAGCATTTTTCTAATATCCGAAATATCACAGTAATTAATATCCGGCTTATCTCATAATAGGTCACATAAAATTGTTTTATTTTTTGTTTGTTTTTTTTACTCTTATTTTGTTTTTCTCTCTTTTTCACTTCAGCTCTGTGCTATATTTTGGTAAAAATAAATGCATCGAAGAACTAAAGGGAAATTTCCGGAATAAATACCGAACAAAAAGTTAAGTTTATTCCGGTGCAGGACTGTTGTAGTCCTCTATACCAGGCTCCATAACAAAAAAAAAACTGTAACTTCTGAGTATAAAATAAAGCATTCAAAATAAAATTTACAGTTCTGTTTTCCATATATAAATTATGTTATTTCGGCTTTGTAGTTATATACTAGTTCTTGATTATTCCAGTGATTATCTATGGCGTTTTTGAAAGCATTTACACTGGGTGCGGATACTATTGATTCTGGTAGACTGTTCCATATCTTGACAGTTCTTATATAGAAATTGTTTTTCCGTAATGTGCATGTTGCTCTCTTGGGATATATCTTCTTTGAGTTTCCTCTGCAACTATGTCTTTGTGATGCTTCCTCCCATAAAGATAAGGCATTGCAGCATTCCTTGTTGTATACACCGTTTACTATCTTGTATAGCTCAATCATATCTCCCCTTGCCCTCCGAAAGGCCAATGTTGGCAATTTTATTTTTTTCAGTCTATCCATATAGTCCAGATCCTTCATGCCTGGAAGACATTTTGTCGCTCTGCGTTGGACTCCCTCTATCATATCTACATGTTTACATAGATATGGGGACCACACTGGACTAGCATAATCCAGCTGATACCGTACTAGACATTTATATAGAGGTACAAATGATTTTAGGTCCATAAATTGAAATGTTCTTCTTAGGAGAGCAAACATAGAGTTTGCTTTCTTAACTTTTTGGCATATATGTTTATCGAATGAAAGATCTGAGTCTATGGTCACTCCAATATCTTTTTCCTTAGTTGTTTTTTGAAGGTTTCTTCCTTTGAGGTTGTATGATAAAGGTGTTCTTGGTCTTTTGATGTTTCCTTTCCAATTCTCATATGCTTACATTTGTCCGGATGCATTCTAAGTAACCATGTATCACTCCAGTTACACATAATATCCAGGTCTTCCTGTAGCTCAATGCAGTGGTTTTTGTTCTCTATTATTTTAAATATCTTTGTGTTGTCTGCAAAGAGGTACATATCCGATTTGACAACATCTGGCAGATCATTTATGAATATTACGAATAGTATCGGCCCTAAGACTGATCCTTGTGGAATACCTGAAGTTGCATTGCCCCATTCAGAGTCTTCCCCATTCACTGAGACTTTATGGCTTCTGTTTGTCAGGAATGATGATATCCAAGAGGTTCATTGTTTCGAGAAGTTATACGACTTAAGTTTGCTGATTAATCTATTATGTGGTACAGTATCGAAAGCCTTTTGATAATCCATGTAGACACAGTCAATAATTTTACCATTGTCTAGGGCTTCTGTCCACTTGTCCATCACCTCTAATAGTTGGAGACAGGTTGATCTTCCAGATATAAAACCGTACTGTTTTGGTGAGAAGTAGTTGTTTTCTCTCATGAAGTTTGTGATATGTTACAATTGTTTCCAAAACTTTACATGGAACAGAGGTTAGACTGACTGGTCTATAATTTCCTGCCATGCATTTGTCCCCCTTCTTGTATATTGCACAGACCTGAGCTTTTTTCCATTCGTCTGGCAGTGTTCCCTCGGATAGCGTTTGATTGAAAATCTCTGTCAGTGGACCCGATATTGATGATGCGATATTTTTTAGGTACGTAGGGTGGAGACCGTCTAGTCCAGGTGATTTTTCTGGTTTGAGTATCCTCAATAGCTGAAAAACAGTTTCCTCCTTCACCTCGAGTCTAGACATTTCTTCTTTGATGGGTTTTTGACATAGTTCTGGTGAGTTGCCTTCATGTTCTTTTACAAAAACGCTGCTAAAAAAATTACATAGGATATTTGCTTTGCCTTTGTCTGTTGTTATTTTGACTGATTTATTGTCCTCTGGATCTGAATATAAATCTCCGATATCAGATTTAATTGTTGATTTTGACTTAATGTAGTTCCAAATTACTTTCGGATCGGTTTTTGCCTTTGCTGCAATATTCATTTCGTACTCTTTTCTGGCTTTACGGGTTATTTTATTTTATTTTTTTTTACTTTATTCCGTATTCTGTTATATTCCTTGCGTAGTTCTTGATCCTTACTCCCAGTTACTTTTCTGGACAATGAGTGTTTCTTTCTGATGGCGTCTAGTGTTTCTTGATTTGCTGGAAAGCTGTGTCTATTGTTTCTTCCTATAGTTATAATTTTAGTTGGAACAAATTCCTCTTCTATTTCCTTCAGGGTTTTCTTAAATCGTTGCCAGTTCTCATCAACAGTATCTGTCGGTTTTATTATTTCTCTCCAGTTTTTATTCCCTAGCTTCTCATTAAAAATTGTGTAGTTAGCTACTTTGTAACATAATTTCTTTTTTCGTTGCAGACTTAAGTTGATATTGCATAATATATGAAACAAAAGTGTGCTGTGATCACTTTTGCCAAGTGCACTCTGGTATTCTATTGTTGAGAGTGAGTTTTCATCTTTTGTTATAACCAGATCAAGGATGTGTGGATTATCCCTCCCTCTCCATCTAGTTGGCTGATTGACATGTTGAAAAAGAAAGTTATCTTGAAGTTTTTGTGTGAATTTAAATTCATGTGTTTCTGTGTTTTCTCCGTTGGTGTTCCAGGTCTCCCAATTTATTCCTGGGTAGTTGAAATCACCCATTATTACGAGTTTTTCGTGCCCTTTACCAGCTGCTTCTTCAAGTAAGTCTAGTAAGGCATAGTTATTCTCATCAGACGTTGATGGTGACCTGTATATTAGACCTAGAAGAATAGATTTATTTTGTTCTGTCCGTATTTGTAGAAACAAATTTTCTTGGAACTGTGTACTCATTACTACTTCATTCGCATCCAGTTCTTTGTTGACTAGGATTAATATGCCTCTTCCCTGATCATTTTCCACGTTTTTACTAAAATTGCTATAATTTTGGTTCCCTTCTATACTGAATTCTGATGCGTTTAGACTACAAACACGGTTTTTTGCCTTCACTTCTGTGATTCCTATTACATCTGGGTTTTCTTTGTTTACTCTAATACTCAATACAGACATTTTGTTTTTAAGCTGATCTGCATTTGTATATAGACATTTTAAATCTTTTATTATCTTTAATTTACGTTTGTTCTTTTTTGTAATTCTATGTGCTGTGTTCCCTATGGTTGCAGGTTTCTTGATTATACGGTTGTGGTTCGAATTCTGATTATTTTCCTGGCCCAAAGTGGGCCGCGGACTTTGAAAGTGAATTCCCCCGATGATTTCTGCTCTCTTTTTTCTTTGGTTACTCTCCATAATTCCTTTTCGTGTTCCCTTTCAGCCTTTGTTAAGTCGTTACTGATTCTTACGCTTTTAAATACATTTTCCTCGCGTGAATTCTTAATATTTTTGAACAGAGTTCTTTTTATTTCCAGACTCCCAAGTGATACTAGCAGTGGCCTATCTTTTCGCTCCTTGTCAGCTGACTTGTCTTTTTGGTAGTTCCCTATTCTCACAGACTTAAGTACTACTGTTTCACTTGTGTTGACTCCACATTTCTGGAGTATCTTGTTGGTGAATTCTTTATCATGCTTATCTCTAGCATTCTTGTCTCTATCATCGCACTCGGGTACGCCAAAGATTACTAGGTTTCGCTCCCTTGATTTCCGTTCGTTAATTTCAGACATGATGTTAGTAATATCTGGTTCCGTTTGTGCAGCCTTCAGTGTCATATTTGACTGTGGCTTTGGCCACTCTTGTGGGTTCAAGCTTGGTTTAGCTTCTCTAGATTCCCTGATTATTCTTCTAACTGTCTCCTCATCACATTTTTTCGTAATCGAGTCCTCCAGAGTCGATATTCTTCCCTCGTACTCCTTCATAATATCCTGACATCACTCCTCAATTTTTAAATCAGTAATAATGTTTTTCTGTACAACTTCCTTGCAAGCAACACAGAACCACATTGAATCTGATTTCTGTAGAAACCTGTATTCATCGTCAGATTTTCCCAGGCACCTCGTGCAG